CATAAAAATGAGGAGCATTCAAATAAAGATAGGACTACCAATGTTCACAACATTTTTTTTTATAAATGCTCCCGATAAAAAAAATCTATTATCCTATTAAAATTTCAAATAAAAATTTTAATTTATTACATTTATTTTATTTTCAAAATTTATGTCAAAATTTTCTGCACTAATTATTTAGTCTCATTAGTTTTATAAAATGCACATGCTGTGCAATCAAACAAAATTTTCAATTGTTTTTGAAGCTTACATTTAAACCTAAAGCATCAAGGGCAAAAAGGACATTTGCAACCAAACGTAACAGTGAAATAATGGAAAATGTAACGGTAGGGGCATGGAAGGGATCAAACTGAAATTTCAGGGGCATAGAAGGGATCAGGTAAATTTCAGGGGTATGGAAGGGATTGAGTGAGTTTTCAGGGGTACACAAGGAATTTACTCTTGTTTTTTTCTTTTTTTAACGACTCGCATGAAACGATGCGAAGTTCTATTGATAGAGGAGAAAAAAATTACAAAATTACAATCCTGGAGGGTCGTAACCAGGGAAAAGAAAAAAATATACCACCACCCACACACCGACAGCGCCAACACACAAGACCGGGAGAAGACTAACACCGGACCAGGCGCCGCTAAGCGTGACCGACCGCCGCTAGACCAACAAAGGAACACAGACGAGATCGCCCAAAAGAACACTCTCACAACCAACACAAAGCCAACTCCTAGAGCGTGCTTGCACCAATCGATCGAGAGGCTTCGGCCAGGGGATGCCAAAACGACGTCTTCAAGAAGAGAAGCGACGGTAAACCGCCGCCGCTGTCCGTCGGGGCTCAAAGGAGCTTGGACTGGGCTTTCGCCCAGCAACCACCTCTGAGGGATGAGACAGCACGACAACGCCCTCAAGAGGGGGAATTAACCATCGTTGTCACCCACTGCTCACCACCTGCGAATCCATGGCTGACGCATTGATGCTCCCACCACCCCTCAACCTCTGCCAACATGTGGGACCCCTGCACCGGCGCCCCCCGCCGGCCAGCCTTCGAGCGCCGAAGACCGCGCCACATCCACCAGCAGCTCCTTCTCGTACCGAGGTCGCCTCCTCCACCGCCGGCAGCGCCTCTCGCGCCAAGCCGGCTTCCTCCACCGGATGCACCTCTCGCGCCAATCCGGCCTCCCTCCATCGGCCGCGCCTCACGCGCCAAGCCGGTCTCCATCTCCGCCGCCCGCGCCTCTCGCGCCGAGCCGGCCTCCGCTGCCATCGGTGTCACGCCCTGAAGTACCCCTCCCTTGCTCTAAATTCATAAAATAAATCGTCCGAAGAAATTGTTTAATTTAACCTAGAGCTAATTCCTCAAATTAATAAATGCAAATAATAATCGAAATCGGCATGTGGAATTTTTCTTGGGTTCTACATGTCAAAATACGCTAACAGGATTTTTAGCGGAATTTTCAGAGCATTGTAAATAATTTTAACCAATTAAAATAAGCAAAGTGCAATATTAAATCCATGGGAAAATCCTTTTTCCCTTTTATCTTTTCTTTTCCCTCCTTTTTCCTTTTTCTTGGGCCGCCAGCGCATTTCTTCCGCGCCGGCCCGCTCCTCCCTCCCACTCCCGAAGTTCACCCGGCCTCCCTCTCCCTCTCGGACGCTGACAGGTGGGGCCCACCTGTCAGTCCTTTCCCCTTCCTCCAGCCGCCCACGCAGGCAACCGCCGAATCCGCGCGCGCCGCCGCCCTCGCCATAACCGGTCGGCCGGTTTGAGGCCAAGCCGAGCCGACCGGGCGTCTCCCCTCCCCTTTGAGCCACTGCCTGGTGGGGTCCACCCGCCAGGTAGCACCCTCGGCCTCGTGGACTTGGTCCACGGTGGACCGACCTCCCCCTTGTCCAGTGGGGCCCGTAGGTCGGCGCCCCACCCCTTGCTGACGTCAGCCCTGGGGCAATATTGCGCAATAAATTGATTAAGGCTTTTCTTTAATAGGAAAAACACAGAGAATCTTCTAAAAATCATAACTAATTCATCCGAGCTCCGATTAAGTCCATTCAAGTCTCAGTAAATTCATAAAAATGTATAGAATCCATTAAAAATAGTTTTGCTTCCTGTTTCAGTAGTCTTATAGCATGTTTTGCTTGTGTGCTTTGTTTGTCGCGTAGATTTCGGTCGTTTCGTCGATCCGTGGTTTCTCGAAGACGTTGCTGTGGTCTCATCAGTGCGAGAGCAAGGCAAGTCATGCAATACAATTGATCATATTGTACCCAATTTACAAATATCCCGCATTTCTATTAAATATTGCATTGTTTTACAATATCATGTGGGATGGGTCCTATTACTCAGCCATATATTGTTTACCTTATGCCATTGATAACGTGGGTATTAAAATGACTAGATGTTGGTTTAGGAGATGCTTAGCCATGCTTAGTTCAACTAGTGCACAAAGAGGGATCACATTAAAGCATAGACTTGATTATTGGCATAGCTTTGATTTAGTGCCATCGTAATGGTGTTGGTTAATTAAAATACACGTCATGGTGGGCTGTGGGTGCATGGTCTTGCTAGTCGCACCCATGGCATTTAAGGACCGGTTCGCGGGATGCCCTGGAAGAACTGACCGTACTTACCACAAGCCAGCGTGGGCAACGGCTGGGCTTGTAGTGTAGCTTTTCTCTAGCCGACGTACCCAGGCGAGGGTGGGCGTGATGGAGTTGGGTCGGCCGGGGTGTCCGGTTGATCGGCTTCCGGATTCACTGCGGCACGAAAGGGGGGCTGCCCGTTGCCTGTTGGGGACGAGGGCGAACCCTAAGGTGTTGTGCGATCGGTTAGAGGGGGTTATGCGAAGGGTCCTGTCACGGCCTCTTTCCGGTATGTCGTGGTGGCATGTCGGCGCACGGGAACGTGTCGTGGGGCTATGTCTTGTGGGTACAGTTGTACACCTCTGATCAGAGTAAAACTATTCGAATAGCCGTGCCCGCGGTTATGGGCGGTCGACCAGATTCACCGTGATTAGTTTCACCCTAGTTAGCTTTTGGAACTGGTTAGTTCAGGTGGTGGTTTGGGCCTGTTGCAACGTGGTGTAACGTTGGACAGTGATTGGTTAATATGGATTAATTACTACAACTGTTTTACTGCTTTCAACTACTGCTTTGAAATGCCGGCTTTATGCAAAAGAACCTTTAGCCTCCCTTGGATATATCTTGCATCATACCTCCTCTTCCGGTATGACTTGCTGAGTACAGTGGGTAGTACTCAGTCTTGCTCTCTTTTCCCCCACTCCAGAGTTGAAGTCCTTCTCAGTTGAAGATGTCTCGAAGAGGTTGGTTTCGTCGCTGCCGTCAAGGATTGCCTGTGGAATGGAGTCACCGCTGCAGGAGTCAAGTCTTCAGGCTTAGCTCGCTTTTATCTTTTTCCGCTGCATTTGTAATCTTTTCTATTTTTGTAAGACGTGGATCTGTATGTCAACAATTGTCGTTTGTGTACCCTGGCTGGTCCTGGACAGGGGTTTAATGCACATTCAGCTTAGAAATTCTGGTTCGTGAATTTCTGGGCGTGACAATCGGCTGCGCCAAGCCGGTCTCCGCCCCTCCTCCAAACGCTGTCGCGCCGGCCAGATACAGTCGTCTCCTACTCCCTCGGCTAGCCGTCCGAGGCCGCCATGCATCCTCCCACCTCAGCCACGGTGGTCACCACCGTGCCTCCTCCCACCGCAGCCACGGTCGTCACCTTGCCTCCACATTCACGGCCGCCGCAAGCCGGCCGCCATCGCCGCTGCTGTCTCCAGCCGCCGACACCGCCAACGTGGCTGCTGCCTCGTCGCCCTCCGCCACCACTGCCTCTGCAGTCCTCCGCTGCCGCCATCGCGGCCGTGGACCACCGCCGCCGCCGTCGCCGCCATCAGGGCCGTGGACCTCCGCCGCTGCCGTCGCCCCCGGGAGGACCAGAACCGGCCTCACCCCCGGGCCTTCGCCGCCGTTGCCACATCCGTCCTCGGTGGCGCGCATCCGTCACCTCCTTTCGGCCGCCGTCGCCGCGAGGCTCGCTGTTCGCTCGGCCCCTGGACGTGGGGAGGCCGGATCTGCCGCCGGGGGAGGCGGATCCACCTCCAGCGTGCCCGAATTCGCCGCGGTGACCCCCGGCGCCGCTTCCCGTGCCGCTGATCGCCGCTCGCCATTGCTCGGCCCCTGGACACGGAGAGGCCAGATCTGCTGCCGAGGGAGACAGATCCGCCACGCCGACCCCCCGGTGCCACCTCCCACGCCGTGGACCGCCGCTCCCGAGCAGCCCTGGTGTCCCCGCCGCTGGCTTCCTCGAGGAGGGGAGAGGGCCCCGCCGCCGCTGTCCTTGAGGCCGGCCGGCTTTGCCAACGCGCCGCTCGGGCGGCGCGAGGCAGAGGAGAGGAGGAGGGAGGGGGCGGCGGAGGAGGATGAGGTGCCGCCCATGGACGGGAGCGACGCGGACGAAGAATTTTTGGCCAGGAGCCGAACTGATGTGCTGATGATTGTTAAGTGGTAACTATGGCAATGCATGCGTTTATCCAACCATTTGCCATCAATGTAGTTCTTACTATCGAATATTTTGTGGTTGATCTATGAAATCATCAGTGTACTCATGACTGCAAAGTGCAAACCACGTCCAAACACCTTTGTACGCTGTTGTACATCAAACCTCTATAATATTCAAATCCAAACGAAAGCTACTCTTGTTTGTAACTACACACAAGATGATTGTGGAGGTGCATCCTTGATAATTTCTCCTGAGTATGCATGACAGATGGTTAGTTTTTGCTGCAAAAAAATCTCTTTGCTTCTATATATTAATTACTTCCTCCGTAAAAAAACGAATCTATAATTAGATGTGCCATAACATAGTACGATAAATTTGGACAGAGATATGTGTCCAAATTAATAGTGCTAGGAGGTTGGTTTTTTATGAGACGGTCATAATAAACTACTCCTGCACAAATCCTTCTATTATTAATGAGTACTCCCAACTAAAATATCACTCATATCTCATTGATATATGAGCTTAGTTTCATATCACAATCATCAATTGTTCGACAATCTTCTCACATCGAAATAATACACCACAACCAGAACGACAAATGCTGTGATATTTATAATTATAACCGAGAAGATAAGCAAGCTGTATAGGGAGTCGCCGAGGAACGGATATCGCCTCTTGATGGCGTGAGCATGGCGACCACGCCACACGAACCTCCAAACCGCGCGATACGTCGTCGCTGCAGGATCAATCCACTTCTCGATCCACAAAATCAAGGCGTTGAAGCACACATAGATGACCAAGAACATGGTGATCAAGACCGTCCTCGAGCTCGAGGTTGCGATGACGACGGCATGGATGGCGGAGAAGAAGGCCAGGATCAGGCTGACGAGCGAGACCCAGATGCACTGCAGCGTCACCACGAAGCTCTTCCACGAGACGGCGAGGTGCGCCGCCGCCGCCGTCTTCCCGTATACGAGCAGGATGACGGCGACCACTGACGTGGTGATGGCGAAGGTGTCGAGGACCATGAAGTATTTGAACGAGATGTTGTCCCTGAGGTTGGCCGTGCCGTCGTCCCCGTACCCGCCGGGCATGTTGAACCCGACGGCGAAGACGGCGGCGGCAATGAGAACAGCCACCAATGCGAGGCTGTCGGATGTCTTCTCGATACCACTCGCCATGTCATGGCCGCTCGACGGCTTCAGATGGTCGTTCCTTTGTGGCTGGGCCTGTGCTCCGAATGTGACCAATGTCACAACAAAGCTTAATTACCTACATTACATTCACAATGAAAATATAGGATGCAAGTCACATATACAGTGTAAAAAACCTAATGTAGTAATAAAGGCGTGAAAAATAATCTCAGACATCCATTCTGACTATACGGTAACAGGGTTTTCAATTTTGATATTGGCCATTTTGGTTCTCCTAAAATTTCAGTATCTTCAGCACTTCTTGGACCGATTTTTTTTTAAATAAATTAACATAATTAACTGAATTTGACTAAATTTTGACCAAATTCGTAAAAATTTGAGAAAACCGAAAATTTTTGGCCAAGATAGTCACTTGCGGGGGGTCCGAAATTTCAAACCAAAATTGCAATCAATATAAGTTTCTAGGTTTATATATGTACACTCTAGATTACTACTACCTCCGTTTCAGGTTATAAGACTTTCTAGTATTGTTCACATTCATATATATGTTAATAAATGTAGACATGCATTGTCCACATTCATATAATGAATCTAGACAACTAGATTCATTAACATATATATGAATATGGACAATGCTAGAAAGTCTTATAATCTGAAACGGAGGAAGTAACGAGTAACTAATAACATAGTAAATGGGCATGCTTGGTTTATGGTTGCTCACCATATTGAACAAACTGTTTGATTCTGAGGCGAGATCAAGCGGCGTGTGTCCATCGTCATTCAAGACATCAGTTTGCACATTCCCCTCCCGGAGCAGGGCCTCCACAATGTCAGGCGCGCCGGCGACCACGGCGAGGTGGAGCGGCGTGTTCCCGCCGGCGTCCTGCGCATTCACGAGGCCACCCATCATTATGGGGTTCTTGATGTCTAGGGACACCACCGACGAGCGCCTCTCCCTGGCCGCGGCGTGCAGGAAGGTCTCGCAGCGGCCGTCGCGCAGCTCGGCGGTGTCTGGGTAGAACCCTGTCAGCTCCTCGACGATGCCGCCGTGGCCCAGCCGAGCCGCGACGTGGAGAGCGGAGAGGCCATCTGAGTCCTTCATGTACGCCGTGCCAGGTGGCGCCGTGGCCAGGATTGCACGTACGATTTTACGGTTGCCGTCGGACACCGTGAAATGGAGCGGAGTGCTGCCATTGCAGTCGACTTGGACGGCCAATTCTGGCTTCCATTGTAGTAGAAGGTGAACCATCTCTGCGCAATTTAATCAATTGATAAGTTAAGTTGGGCAACACATTCTCGTGTTTGCGCTCAAAACCTTAGAAATCGACGGTTCAACGTGTAGGATCGAATCACAAGAACTAAGCCAACCAGAGGGGGGTGAATGGTTGGTATACCCAAAAACCGAAAACTTTTAGCGGAAATAAAAGTTACCCTCGAAATCGATGGAGATCGGTCTGACCGAGATTGATCTGCCGGTCTGACCGAGTGGATGCCGCCGGTCTGACCGCCCGTATGCCGCTGGTCTGACCGCCGGTATGTCACCGGTTGGACCGCCGAAACTCGGTGAAACACAAATCGAAGAACTCTTAAAGTGGATGACAACTTTATTACTTCTCTCTGTGTTTACAAAGTGCACCAACAGCACTCCTTACAAAAATTTCGACTAAACTCGAAACCCTAACTCAAAACTCAACTCAATTACTCTCTAAAGCGATACCGGGAAGCCTCACGCTCCCCCTCTATTTATACATGAGGTAGGCAGCCTAAAGCCACGAACCAAACTCATACTAGGAGTCCTAAACACCTTAGGAAACCCTCTAGTACAAGAAAGAAACTTTACATAACCAATCATACCAAATTTGGACTCCTTCCAAATTCGACTCCGCATCCCATACGCACACAATAACTCTATCGTATGCCATATGGAATCTCCATCAACCACATGCATCAACTCTAGCCTAAGTATCCCGCATGATCTCTGACCACCACGGACGTCGTCTTATCCCCAAGCCGACTCCCGGTCCATCACTGCAAATACTCTCCCGAGACATCGAGTCACCTACACATGAAACAAACAAAGAAACCATATTTCGAGACCAAGCTATCTCCAACTTGACTCATTAGCAGCAAACAATAGTATTACATACGCATAGTATCCATCTAGAAGTCATAATCATGGAATAAACTCGGATATCCAAATAAACAACCTGAAACCGAAACCGACACAGTGTCGGCCGGTCAGACCGCGGACTGCGCCGGTCTGACCGGCAGCACAAGCCCGGTCTGGCCGGTCCCACATAAAATCACAGCAGTACCTGTATATTCACCTGTGAAATCCAATCATCTCCAAAACCACTTTGTGAATAAATTCCAAATATCAAAACCAATAATCTCCAATGCCCAATTGTTCATCACAGAATATGAATCAAAAACACCTTTGATTTTACACAACGGATTGATAGCATACTCAGGGTTCAAAATTTCAGTTTTGCTATTCCTATCGGGGACATTGATAGGACCGAAATTTCCAAAACTGCAGAAATTTTGGTCCAAAATAATTTTATTTTTAACAAAATTTGGTCAGATTTGAGTTATTTTTGTTAAATTCAAAAATAGAAGAAAAAGTGAAAAAAAATGGGTGAAACAATTTGTATCTATCCCCTGAAATTTTGAACCGTGATCATACGTAAGCTTCGGAAGACGGCGGCATGTAGAGGATTCTGCGAGCTTGGCCCGGCGGATGAAGCATCTTCGAAGGTGATAATGATTGCTCTGACAGCTGCCACCGACAGATACAGAAGGAAGGAGAGGGGGAGAGAAGATGTCACCGTCACCGCCGCTCCCCACAGGGAAAAGAGAGAGAAGGGAGGAACAGGCCCGGCCCTGGGGCAGGGCGAGCAGTGCAAGCGCCCTGGGCCCCGCCAAGTCAGGGGCCCCCTGACCAGGTATACGTAAGTAGGTTTGCTATTGCCATCGTACAATTCGTTGATTTCCAGTGGATCGCATCGTCTGCTTTGCAATCCAACAACAGCGTAAAAACACAAGCCCCTTAATTTATTGAGGCCCATACGCGTAGCTATAGAAGGCAGAGCAGTCATTTGATTGGTCAAGCAAGCCTATAGGCTGATGGCCAAGGTGATTATCATTTATCAACAATTTTAGTGCTACTACTCCTTAATGAAGGGATCACTGATATTGATTTTTTTGAAAGGATCACTGATATTGATTTTGAACCCATAAATACTAGATTTGTAAAAATTACTCCATCGGGCCATACATATTTAAAATTCTAACCATCAAATTAATCTATATTGGAAAATCTTCATAAAATATGATAAGTTTAAGATACTATGATTAAATTTTTTTATGCAAATATGTTTTTCTTATGCTACTCTAAAATAAAGTTTTCTTCAATTCTGGCACCTAATACAATTAAAAAAAACGAACTCAATATAGGGCCCTAATTTTTGTGTCGCCCTAGGCCCCTAAAATATTAGGACCGGCCCTTGGGAGGAAGAAGAAGGGGAGGATAGGAAAGGATAATATGTAGGCTCCACATATAAGTGGATCTCATAATATTTTTTCGTGTGAATGATAAATGGCTCCCATATATTTTTTTTTATTTATGCCTGTAATACGAATAGAATTGGATGATATGGGCAACGACGTACGTGATATCCACATTGACTCTGTGAGTTTCATTCGCTTGGTATCCACATCACACGGACTCTCTTTCGTAGTTCGCTCACGAGTCGTGACTTTGCAATGAATGTTACGCGTGACGGGAATCGGATGCAGACGAAGTACCATAGTTTTAACAAAAACATCTTCAATTTTTAAATCGCAGGCGAGGGCGACATAGTCCCAATCAGACATACGACAAGGGCGCAAATCGTGTGTGCGAGGGTGTTGCGGTCTCAATCGCGGCGGCGTGTAAAGGCACATGTGGAAAATGGACTCAGGCTTGGGCCCGATCCCTGCGTGCGACAAGGGGTGTGTGAAAAGGTGAGGTCCCAATTAATTCGCGCGCGTCTCGGATAAGAGGGACACTCTGGCGTAAGAAAAAATAAAAAGATTTGACAGAACAGGAAATTAAAAACGATTCAAACACGGATGACGCACCAAAATTCTGACGGAAACATCTTCAATTTTTATAATAGTAGAGATAGAGATAATGCTACATAAGCACCATGTCGTCAACGAAACCGCTCTCAAAAATGTCAAGAGAGTTAAATTACACCGATTTTAATACTTGGGGGTTAAAATATCGGGTAATATGGTTCAAGCATGTAAATCAGATACCACTAGTTAAGTGAGTCAAAGTGAATTTATTCCTCTTCATAATGCTTGGTGTCCTCTCTCTGGTCTTCTGGAGAGAGGGCATGTCTGATTACGGTGGGCTCTCGGACCTTGACCAGCGTTCAGCCAGACTGTCATGCGTCGTCGCTCACGGAGCTCCACTGTGCATGGTAGGGGTGAGCGTTCGGTCTAACCGAAAATTTTTTTCGTCTCGGTTTTCAGTCTTTAAAAAGTGAAGACCAAATTTCAACACAAAAATATTATGACCAACAAATTCGGTCTCGGTCTTGATCCCGACCGAAATTCAACGACATTTTTATATATGCAAAGAAATAACGGACATTTTCAACACAAATAATCACAAAAAAAAATTTGTAAGCATGTATGAGTAAAGGCTCTTATTAGATTGTATGCGTAGAAGAAGTAGGGAAGTGTAAGTTAAAGTTTAATGCTATTGAACTTAGTGGATTGTAGGTTGCATTTATATATTTATTTTTATTAATTTGGTCTTTTCGGTCTATTTGATTAACCGAGGAGACTACGAATTGACTGAACAAAATTCGGTCTTTCAGTACCTAAGACCGAATTTCTCGGTCTCAATCTTGGTCTTTTCAGTTCGGTCTTTTTCTGCCCACCCCTAGTGCTCGAGGGCCCGGCTTGAGCAGGATGTTTGGGTGACCCATGTAACAATAGATATTATAATTTTTTCGTATTTTTTAAACTTTTTGATTTTAAAAATAATTCCTCCCAAAACTTATTTCTAAATTTTTATAGCTTTTGTTTTCAGAAGTTATCTGAATAGATATCTTGATAGTTTCACTGTTTTCCATTTTCATGGATACTTACCCTCGTGTTTTTTTTTAAAAAAAAAAGTCGGAATCAGTTTTTGTTTTCAAAAATTATCTGACTGATACTATTTGTTTCGGAATGGAGGAAACTATCCGAACTGATTTTATAACTTAGTTATCAGGTACGGGAATATATTTTTGAGATTATATAAATAAAGGTGAGTTTCTTTGCAAATTGTATAAACTGAAAGCAACCTGGGAGTGCCTGAGAGAGGACGGAGCTCCACCATCAATAGGGGGAGCTGCGATGCATTTCTTGCTTGCACAGAGAAGCTGCATTCAGGAACAAAAATACAGCAGCAGGAAGAAGCGGAATCCCGCAAATCTGTACACAGCTCGTGCGCGTGGATTTTGAAGGAGTTTATGCGCGTGGATTTCGTATGAGCTCTGGTCGGCTCTGTTCTATTTCTTTAACTCCATACTTGCTTGTTGTTTGTTAGCACGTTTTTCAAACTGTTAAATGATACTCCCTCCATATTTTAATGTATGACGCCGTTGACTTTTTAACCAACGTTTGACCACTCGTCTTATTCAAAAATTTCATGCAAATATAAAAATACTTATGTCATGCTTAAAGAACATTTGATGATAAATCAAGTCATAATAAAATAAATTATAATTACATAAATTTTTTGAATAAGACGAAAGGTCAAACGTTTGTCAAAAAGTCAACAGCGTCATACATTAAAATACGGAAGGAGTATATCTTTTAAAAAAAGATTTTATATAGAAGTTGTTTTAAAAAAAACAAATAAATCTATTTTTAAAATTTATAATAGTTAATATTTAATTAATTATATGCTAATAAGCTTTTTTTGTTTTGCGTGTAACCAAAATTTATCTCCATATGTGGAGATAGAACAGATGAATATTGGCATCACAAGTCACTGAATTCAAATATTCGAGTGGCATAATAACCAAAAGCTTAATTTGACCATATGCCATATTCAGATGAGCGCTATAGGATATGCCATCATCTAGAATCAAAAAGAATAAAAAGCTCAGGTTTAATTAATTAGTTTGGTAAAAAAAATACTAACCTCTATTTTTTATTGATAACTTTGACTAAAAAGTTATTTACTTTCCTATTTTACCCCTACAAGTAATTTAATCGTATGTCTATCTTCATAATCTAGAAACTTTTATCTATTACCTCCACCCAAAAATATAGCACAATATAATTAAAAGGGATATAGCTTAGTACTACGATCCTACAGTTAGAGATTGTTGTGGCATGGGAAGAGTAAAAGGCCACGATTTAGCTGACATGCGAGACCCATATACAATGTAACGCCGCCATGAAGCTCTTCCACAAGCCGGCGGAGCGAGACGCCTTATGGTAGACAAGTAAGATCACAGTAACCATTAGTGCTGTTACAACAATGTTGTCACAGAACATGAAGTATTTGAATGAGGATGCGTCTTCGAGGTTCGTCCGCCATTGTTCGGTACCCACTGGGCACGTTGAGCATCATCATTCGCCATTGGCATCATCGCGCCACTGCCACCATCGCACGTCGCTGTGAAGAACAACGTACGAGCTGGATATCTTGTATCTGAGGATGCTTTATTTAATCAAAATCTAGTGCGTAAAGAGAGGATATAATCTTTGGACTGATTATATTGATTGTATAATGTAGAAGTAAACTGAATTAGTTTGAGCTCCACTTTGCTTGTTGCCTTGATGCTGCTATATGGGTATAGCTAGGTGTTGTTGCTGCCGCTCAAGTGGTCTTAGCAATACATTAGGGATTTATGGTGTCATAATAATTGGCTAATTGTATTTGATTTCTACTTTTATTATGTGTAAGCTCAACGCCTTTCTCCTACTCCATTTTAACACAATTTCGCAGCAGGGTCACATTAAAATTTAAAAGTGACCATGGATAAACAATGGTGTCAATTAGAAGTAGACGATTATAACAGACATAACTCTAATAATATATGATCTACTAATTCAATATATTTCTAAAATTATTATTCAGTTATCCACCATTCGTATTGTTTGCTCAACGTTTCTAAAAACATATTTTCTAAAAAAACTTTCCTCTATGAACCACTTGTTCTAACATTTTTCTTCATGTGAAAACAAGATGAGAGCGCACATCCAAAAAAAATTATCAAGTTTTTAGTTTATGCACGACAATATGATGTCTATGAAGTTAGAGATATTTTTGGGTCCGTAGAAAATGAGCTAGTTTCACTTAGTCTTTAAGTTCCGAGAAATGACGTGTTTGGCTACAATGCTAGCATGATCCTAGCTTGACTTGGCAAGACTAATCGTTTGGTATCGCCATAAAATCCTAGCTCCCAGAAGCGAACTAGCCCAAATGGGCCAGAAAAAGGCTAGCTCATCAGGGAGAGCCAAATCTGCTCGCTTCCGACGACAAACTAATCGCGCGAAAAATTGATGATACACACAAAACGATTTCTCCTAAACCTACCAACAATCGGCCCATATCCCATATCTCATCGTACTCTTCCTCAATTCTTGACTAAACTCTCAGGTTAGCCAATAGTAATAAATAAAACATGAAGTTGTTTCTCGAATAATGAACTATAACTCTTTTTTAGATAATTCTTTTTGCACATTATCTCTGTTGTTTAACGAAAACACTCGTATATATAGTCTTACGTTACTTGCGGAAAAATTACAAGCCACTAATTTTAACTAAAGAGAGCAAACGAACCAAATGCAGAGATACAAGTAAGCAATGAGTTGATTTGCCTTTGCCGAGTTAGGCTAGTTAGGAAAAGAAACTAAAAGTGCACCATAGTTACTGCTAGAGATGCTACGGCAGGGACGAAAATTCAAAACAAAGGCAAAAGGCAAAAACAGTTTAAAACTCGAACTACGGAAATAGATTCCGAATTTATCCTTGTTTTCCTCTTTGAGGGAAAGAGTTCATTCAGTACACTGATTCACTCACTCCCGAGTCCCGACCTCCCTCGCACGTGCTTCCCTGCGTCGACCCCGTCCCGACCCGTCCCCCTCACTCGCCGCCGCCGCCGCCGCCGCCGACGCCGACGCCGAGGACGACGACGACGATGCCGCGGAAGGCCTCGTCGACCTCAGGTACGCACCTCCAACCCTCGCCGAACTCCAATTCCCCTAAGCAAGCGCTAATTCCCCGAACCCTAACTCCCAGATTCGCGCCTGAAATGGCGGAAGTGGAAGCGGAACCCCACCGCGTCCCCGTCGCCGTCCAACCGCTCGTCGGCCGCCGCCGCCGCGGCGGACCACTCCGACGACTCCGACTCCGCCGCCGTTAACGAGGACGACGACTCCGCGGTCCCCGAGGACGCCGACGACGAAACCCTAGCCGGGGCGGAGGACCCCGTGCTCGACCTCCGCGAGGCGGAGGTGCTCCCTTCGGCGGAGCCCGTCTCGGCGTTCCCCGTCGCCACCCGACGCGTCGTCAACCGGCCGCACCCGTCCGTCCTCGCCGTCATCGCGGCCGAGCGATCCGCGTGCGCGGGTGAGGGTTCCGCCGCGGTGGCGGCGGCGCCGGTGCTGGAGAACATCTCGTACGGGCAGCAGCAGGTGCTCTCCGGGGTGCTCCCTGACCACGCTTCGCTCGCGACGGACACTGACAAGCCGTCTACCTATGTGTGCACGCCGCCGAATCTTATGGAGGGGCATGGCGTGACCAAGCAGTTCCAGGGTCGCCTACATGTCGTGCCCAAGCACTCAGGTCCGCCTGCTCTTTGCAACCAAAAACCTGAATGTCTGAGCTATAATGCGGCACTAACTTGTTTGCGATTTGTAGATTGGTTCTCCCCAGGGATCGTGCACAGGCTGGAAAGGCAGGTGGTGCCACAGTTCTTTTCAGGGAAGTCGCCGGGCAACACTCCAGAGAAGTACATGCTATTGAGGAATAAGGTTATTGCAAAATATTTAGAGAACCCAAGCAAGAGGCTTGCTTTTGCAGAGTGCCAGGGGCTTGTTGCGAACACAGCTGAATTATATGATCTCAGTAGGATTGTTAGGTTCTTAGACACTTGGGGAATCATCAATTACCTTGCGTCTGGGTCGGTGCACCGGGGTCTAAGGATGGCAACCTCCCTTCTAAGGGAGGAGCCAACCGGGGAGTTGCAACTATTGACTGCGCCACTGAAATCAATTGATGGCCTAATTTTGTTTGATCGACCGAAATGTAACCTCCAAGCAGAGGACATTTCTTCATTGGCATCAAATTCGGAGGTTGTGGATTTTGATGCTGGACTTGCAGAATTGGATGGAAAGATTAGGGAGCGATTGTCAGAGAGTTCTTGCAGTTATTGCTTACAGCCTTTGACCAGCTTGCACTATCAGTCACTAAAGGAGGTGAGCATCTTTGTAATTTTCGTTTAGATGTTCTCTCCCCATTTTTCATGTGCAGGAAACCCTTCTATATCTTAGTGTTGTTGCTTACATTTTGTTTGACACCTAAAAGATGAATAATACAAAAACTGGGAAACGATATCACAGTAAGCTGAGCAGTAGTCTAGCAAGTTATGACACACGCTTTTGCTGAGAATTGACATACTAGATTCTGTTGTTGAAATTTAATATCTGTCTGTCTGTGTTTGCCAACCCAATGAATACTTGCTCTGTGTTTTGCATCATAATCCTGCTCCTCACTGCTCTGTGTTTGCCAACCCAACGAATACTCTACATATGTTGCGTCATGCTCTGTTCTGCTAAAACATGGAAACTGCATTTTTAATTTGAGAAAAGAAAAACATTTAGAACACAGAATCTTACACTCTTACTAGTCAGCCTAAGCAATTTATGGTCTTTCCATACAAGTGATCAACCCAAACATTATATTGTGCTGAAAGCTTCTGAACAGAATTGGTTATTAAATGATCAGTGTTCCTGCATAGAAAAAAATCACAATACAAGATACAGTCAACAACAATATTAACTTAAAGAATTAATAGAAAGTTTATATGGTTGTTCATGCCACTTTTCAGTGAGTGATAAGAGTAATGTGGCAATTGATTGGATGGCAGGCCGTAGTGATACTGTGAACTGTCATAAGAAAAAACCCTGCAAAATTTAGTTGAAATAAGAAGACACATACAATCTGTAGTATTCTTTTGAATTAAAATACATATAATTTGTAGTATCAAACTGTATTGAAGTGAGATGATTCATGTAAACTTGACAAATATTGAATTATTTATTGGAAGTACAACATAAAGGGCAACATAAAGATCCTAAGATGCCTATACAATAACATGTTAGAATGCAGCTGGGATAGGGATAAAAGTTACTACCAAGAGATTTGGGATGTACATCTGGACAAGAGCATTTAGGTGGATGTTTACTGCAGCCACCTCCCTGCTGCTGGTCAATGGGTGCCTAGAATGTACGGATTGGAGAAGGATGCACACCTGTGCACCATGCTTATACTTACCAGCTCCTTGGTTGCCGTGCGGTTTACTGCTGCAAGGAGGCCAACAATCAAATTCAAAATTAAGGAGAGCAGAAATGATGCAGATGAAACAATAATGTTAGACACTCAAAATGTGTTGGATAAGAAGGGCCACAAAGCGTGCATCCATGACAGCTACTGTCCTCCATTGAAGTATCCCTTGATGCAGCCTGCCACCACAAACTCCATAACAGCTTTGAAAGTTCTGCTTGGAATTTTCAGGGTGAAGATAGCAAATAAGACAACTGCTCCTTCATATATTAGTAGATATTATTGATGGTATCATATATTTGTGGTGTAGCAATGACTAGAACCCTGTTTGTAGCTGAACTTAACTTTAAGTTATGGGATAGGTGAGTTTCACACTTTCACTTCAAATTGCAGTTTGTGCTATTTTGTCAACTATGCATAAATTGATTACAGTAGTACTCTATTTTCTTTGTTGAAGGAAGATAAACTGGTAGGTCTATTTTGCCTGTGCAATATTAATGCATCATGCTGGTTCCCACTCTTTTCTTTGTGGGGGATGAGAAGCAAACAATGACAATCTTCTTGTTGGTTGAGCAGGCAGATATCGCTCTATGCTCTGATTGCTTCCATGATGCGAGATATATTACTGGGCATTCAAGCTTAGATTTTCAGAGGATTGATGGGGATAACGATAGATCAGAAAATGATGGGGATAGTTGGACTGATCAAGAAACGTTATTGCTGTTGGAGGGCATAGAGAAGTACAATGACAACTGGAATAACATTGCAGAGCATGTTGGAACAAAGTCAAAAGCACAATGTATTTACCATTTTATTCGTCTTCCTGTTGAAGATGGTTTGTTAGAGAATATTGAGGTGCCAGATGCATCTGTGCCATTTAGAGCAGAAACCAATGGATACCCACATTTAGATTGCAATGGCAGTACTTCAGGTATTTTTACATATTTACACTGATAGTTCCTCTGTTATCAGTTCTCGAAATTTGTTTTCTCACAAATTTTAGATTATAATAACTAGCATTTTTAACATTGATTACCATGTTTTTCCATAGGAAATCTACCTCAAAAAATTCCACCTGATAACCAGCTTCCGTTCATTAATTCTTCTAATCCGGTGATGTCACTGGTAAGCAGTTGTTCACTAAACCTGTTTAGAGAATGAGTGGACAATTTTTCGGTTTTCAACAGTGAGTTGTGTCATTTAGATTTGGATGACAAGAATGCATGGTACTCCCTCCGTTTCATATTATAAGTCGTTTTGACTTTAGTCAAAGTCAAACTACTTTAAGTTTGACTAAGTTTGTAGATTGATATAGTATAACATTTACAACACCAAATTAGTTTTATTAAATTTATAATTGAATATATTTTCATAATATATTTGTGTTGGGTTGAAAATATCACTATTTTTTTCTATAAACTTGGTCAAACTTGAAGCAGTTTGACTTTGACCAAAGTCAAGACGACTTATAAATCTGAAACGCAGGGAGTACTATTTTTTATGTTAGCTCATAGAATTTGTGTTTATCTCCACTTCTTTAATTCTATTTGACAGTGACATTTTCTTACTGAAGTTATATTTGCATAGCTCTGCTTGGCACTCCTTTGGATTATAATCCGAAGCTGATTTTGAATTTGGGACTTTGATTTTAGGCTTAATTATGTTCAATAAGCTTGGTTGCTGTAACAACAGAAAGTGTTGAAGTTAAATAAGCCAATGATGTTACTTCCAAAAACAATTTGTATTTGAATGCCAATTTGATAGTTAGTAGTAGCTGCCTTTATTCCTTTAATTTGGAGGTGGAGGTCTAAGCTGAACTATCTTGGAACTCGATTTTGAAAATCATAGCTTATAATTGTTGATTGATTATCCAGACGTAGCAGTTGATTTTCTCTAGGCTGAAAGTTAAATGCCTGTACACATTATTTTCAGCAGTTGATTACCAGCTCAAAGCCTCAAAACACCATATGCACTATAGAGCTGACAAAATAGTAATGGAAGTGCACTACGAGTGATTTTAGTATTAAATGTAATCAGTTGGAGGTTTAGTAATTAGGATGTTAGAGCAATGACATAGTAGAAAGCCCCTTATAACCCCTCATTTTTATTATTCTTTTTTGCTCGTATCCCTTCTAATCCTCAGACTGATCTGAGGTTCATTTCAACCTTAGTGCCTTCCAATTTTTGTGCCTGCTCCAGACTTAGCATTCCTTTACAAAATGTATGCTGGCACATATACAGCGAGCCACTGAATGCTTAAGTTTGAGTAAAGTGCATGGGTGATCCTTAAACTTGTAGGGGTGTGTCATTTAAGTCCCTAAACTCTAAAACTACATATCCAAGTCCCAAAACTTGTCATAGTGTATCATCTAGGTTCCAAATCGCCATGGTCCTTAAGGATCCTACGTGGCGCTGATGTGGCATGCCACACAGACATGACGTGATATCATTTTGATTGACAAATGGGATCCATTTAAAAATTTTCCTTTTTCTTGTTCTCCTATTTTTTCCTTTCTTCTCCTTTCTCTGTGACCCGAGCAGAAGAAAGGAAAAAAAAATGAATGAGAAGAAAACAAAAAAGAAAAAGAAAAGAAGAAAAAAGAGAGGAAAAGGACACATCATGTTCATGTGGTATGCCACATCAGCGCCACGTAGGATTCTAGAGGGGCTGTGTTGAATTGGGACCTAGATGATACACTTTGACGAGTTTTGGGACTTGGATCTACATTTTGAGAGTTTGGAGATCTAGATGACACAACCCTACAAGTTTAAGGACCGCCTATGCACTTTACTCTTTAAGTTTTATAGAGATCTATACTTATAACTTGATTGGCGCAGGCCACAAGTTCTGAAGTGAATTCTTATTAGTTCAAATGCTTCCTCTTGTTCTGCCTGCCTTGGTGTTATTAATCAAGATGGTTTTGTCCGTCATATTATCTCAAGTGTATGTGTTATCTTCCTTGCTGAATTTGACCTGACTATGACACTGTTTCTAGTATAGAGTGCTTAGTAACACGAGAAATAACATCAGTATTATCCTGAATTACTTTTCATATTGTTCCCTGATTAATTTTAATTTGAAATTATTGCAATCACACAAATCCTGTGCTTCACTGCTTCAACGTAAACTAGTTCTCATGATGTTTGAACCAAACATATATAGGCTTCTTAGCCTTCTGTATATGTCTGGCATTGTGTGTCTTACTGTTTGGAGATACTGTGCAGGTTGGGTTTTTGGCTTCTGCTATGGGACCAAGAGTTGCAGCATCATGTGCAAGTGCTGCTTTATCAGTTTTGACAGTAGATGATGATTCCAGGTTAGCCATCTTCCCTGAAATGTTTTATTTTAGTAGCATGATTAAATCATTTAACACTTCAGTCAGGATTTTAGAAAAAGGTTACATAAATTGAATACTAGATCTTATCTGGTACAACTACAAGCTACCAGCAATAACCATCTTTGAGTTCTGTTTGAGTTTATTTTATCAAACAGCATATGAGTACTAGATAAATGAATAAGATTAGTCCAGAAATATCGCACCAATACTTGTAGCTACAGTACTACTGATACGGCTACCCAGATAGTAACCAGGTGGTTACTACTGATCTTTATCCCTCATTGAGATTGCGGAACTTATCCACCTGATGTTAAAATTGGACCTTTGGTTTGTTTCATTTGGTCGTTAGGTTGGTTTGCAGTCTCCTTTGGACTTATTATGGTAGATGTAGGTTTTGACTTACCTTTTGCTGAACACTGAAGGGTGAATTCAGAAGGCATTTGCTCTGATTCTAGGGGCCAAGGTCCGCATCCGAATTTTCGTGATCATAATGGTGGTAATGACTTCATATTTATTCTCCACTATGATAATCAGTTTTCTGCGCAATCTCATGTACTCATGCAAGATATTAGTGTTAAGGAAACCATCCTATCCTTAAATAGGTGTATCTTCATCCATCTCTCCAGAAAAGGTGAAGCATGCTGCCATGTGTGGTTTGTCGGCAGCAGCTACGAAGGCTAAACTTTTTGCAGATCAAGAGGAACGTGAAATCCAAAGACTAACTGCTACTGTAATAAACCATCAGGTTAGTGTGAACGTTGCCATCTTGTTTACATTTGGGCCTTGTTTTTCTCATTATTGCTGTCACCAGGGTGTGAAAAACCGCCGGTAACCGCGCGGTTACCGCGGTTACCGCCCGTACCGCGGGGGTACGGTTACCCGTACCGCGCGGTACGGTTTAATAAAATTCGTCCAAATTCAAAAATTTAAAAAAAAAAAGAAAAAAAATCAAAAAAAATAGTGAAGGTAGTGCTTGATTTATAGTGTTTTATGGTGAAGAAATTTCTCAAAAAAGAGTAATATTTATTCAAATTTGAGAGCAAAACGGAGAATAAATTTGAAAATTGGAAAAAGAAAAAAAATGGGCCGGCCCGTTACTGTGCAACCCATTACACATCGCGCGGTAACCGCGCCAAACCGCGTGGTTACCGCGTCAAACCGCGCGGTAACCGCGCCAAACCGCGCGGTTTGCCCAAATTTTTGAATTCAAATTTCGATTTGTAAATTTGTCGCGGTTTTGCGCGGTTACCGCGGTTACCGCCGGTAACCGCCGTACCGCCGGGTGGCGGTAACCGGGCCCCCGGCGGTTTTTGAAACCCTGGCTGTCACATCTGAGGGTGTGTTCGCCGTTGCATGGAAAACGGAGCAGTCCATTAGCGCGTGATTAATTAAGTATTAGCTATTTTTTTTCAAAAATGGATTAATTTGATTTTTTTAAGCAACTTTCGTATAGAAACTTTTTGCAAAAAACACACCGTTTAGCAGTTTGAAAAGCGTGCGCGTGGAAAACGAGGGAGAGTGGTTGGGGAAAAGGGCATCCGAACACTGCCTGAATGTCTGAGTGTGCAAACTCCTACTTAAGAAAAATGCACTATTGCATAGCCCCACTTTATGGCTTATTTTGTACTTGGTCCCTTAAAATATGAGTTCTAGAAAGAGTTTGAAAATGGCAGTGTAAAGTTGGTGTCTGTGTACACGATTTCCTTTCCTAGTCTAATTTGATGGTGAAAGGTGTTTCTCATACATTCTGATTAGGTTTTGGAAACTTATATAACTCAATTGCCTATAATACCAGGTAGGCATGTCTCCAATGATAGTGTTGTGGTGAATGATAAGTATAGCTGGTGAGGACTGAGTCTATAACTGGCTGAACTAATTGTGTCGTCAGTCTTATGTATAATTGCCAGTAAGTAGGATCAATAAAATTCAAAACTGTAATTCATCTAGGAAGCAAGTTAGGAAACTGTAATTGATCTATGTTTGATCTGCCGTTGGTCATAGTCACTAGCTTTTTTTACCAAGTTGCATTGTCGTCATTGATAATATTTGTTTGCAACAACAATTAACTTGCAGTTAAAAAGGTTGGAACTGAAGCTGAAGCAGTTTGCCGAAGTCGAGACCTTGCTTTTGAAAGAATGCGAGCAAGTGGAGAGAATAAGGCAGAGGATTGCATCTGACCGTGTCCGAATCGTGTCCACCCGCTTGGCCTCGCCTGGAAATAGCCTACCTGGGGGTAGTACTAGCACCATGTCATCCAATCCAATGAGTATGAGCCCCAGACCGATGGGCGTGCCAGGCTCGATGCCTCAATCCAGTATGCCAGCACCATTTGCCAATAACATGCAGGGGCATGGTCACCCCCAGATGGCATTCTTACAACAGCAGCAGCGGCAGCAGATGCTGTCATTTGGACCTCGTCTGCCGCTGTCGGCCATCCAAACCCAGCCATCCCCACAGACGTCAAACATCATGTTCAACCCAGGCATGCCCAATTCTGTAACCCCTAATCATCATCAACTGTTGAGGTCGTCTTCTGGAAACAATTCAAGTGTAGGATAGGAGAAAGAAAAAAGGGAGATTCATAAGATTCCAACCAGTGTAGCTTCCTCAGTTGTAGCTTTATATGATTCATAAACATCTCATTGTTATTCATTTGTACAATATGTTCCATTGGTCGTATAATTTATGATCACTTAGGTTCTCATTTTATGTATTTATGATCACTTGGGTTCTCATTTTATAGCCTCAAAAGTGTTGTTACGGATGTCTCACGATATATCGTTTGAATCTGGTGAAATTGCAATATTTGCGCTTTAAATATCACATAGCAAACATAAAGCCCTCTTTGGCACAACTCGAGATCCAAGATTTAATGGAGCTGGGTATTTCTAGGAGTTGGGTATTTATAGCTCCATAAATCCATGGATATAGATCTATGATCACGCGGATAATATTTGATTCAATCAATTTGTTCTTATTTTAGGTAAAATTTAAAATTTTAAACCACTATAATTTAACATATAAACATTAAATATACTGTAAATCTAATATTTGGAGCTATGCCAAATAGCATTTAGAGCTGTAGGTTGGTTAGAACTACAGATTTAGCGTTGGTCGAAACTACAGATTTTGAAATTTTACGCTAAATCTGTAGAATGCTAACGTTATCACAAAGCTATAGATTTAGCGTGAAATTTCTCATAAAACTACAGATTTAAGATGAAATGTAAAAAAAAAATAAAGATTAAGTAGCAAATTTATCATAATACTATAGGTTTAGCATCAATTTATCCCAAACTACAACATTTATAGCTACAACATAATGTTAGTATTAGGGATTTAAACTCTAGAATCTATATTTTTTGATAACTTCGATATTAAATATGTAGTTGTATGATAACTTTAATATAAAATATGTAGTTTTATAATACTTAGTCTTAAATCTATAGTTTTGTGATAAATTTATCATTAAATCTGTAGTTTTGTGATACATTGTCTTAAATCTGTAGTTTTATGACAGTTTAATTAAAATATTTGTAGTTTTGTGAAATTTACTCATATTTTTATAAATCTTATATCATTGAAAACGATGTGAATAAACGTTATAAATACCTAAAATTACGATGTAAATTAATCAACGAGAATAAAACAAAATCCTAGTTCAGTTTTCAGACTAAATAGATGCAAATGAGAAGATGAGAATATCACAACTTCACAAGACTCACTCCAAACCTTAGTCACAATGAAATAAGGTGTGGCCCGTGGGAGTCAGACATAAAGACGAACAACAACATCCTATTAGCTGGGTTGCTAGCTGGGTTGGTCCGTGATGAACACATACCAGTTTGGGTCTTAGACGATTGCACAACCGACCTAGGACCCTAAGATGGTCCTGATTGTGATTGTCTCATCTCAAAATCTCTCTGGACATTATCCAAATAATGTAAGCAATGAATCCGTGATAAACTACTGCAAGCAAGGGAGCCACCACCAAAAGGACCAATCGCTCGGCACCGACAACATCCCCTCGTATTGCAGCCGCTGTACCGAGAAAGACCGCTCCCCACACAAGACTGGCATAGCCAATCTGCATCGTATTGACACATATAAATATAATGTTTAAATAGTTAATTAGAATGCACGTACAGGTAACACATTGAGTATATATATCTCCTGAAAAAAATTTACAAACAATTACAATTTGCAAGTAAGCTACTACCTCCATCCCCTAATTAATATAAGGGATATTCACTATTTTCTTGTAACGTTTGACCACTCGTCTTATTCAAAAAAAATTAAGTAATTATTAACTCTTTTCCGATCATTTGATTCATTGTTAAATATACTTTTATGTATACATATAGATTTACATATTTCACAAAAGTTTTTAATAAGACGAGCGGTCAAACATGTGCTAAAAAGTCAACGGTGTTAAATATTTAGAAACGGAGGGAGTAGTATAATAATACTTTTCTTTTAACATTAGTATGATAATACTCCAGCAACTAATATACGAGTACTATCTGTACATATGCCTGGGGCGATGTGTTGCGTATATCGGTAATATACGAGTATTTTAATGTGTAATCAACGTTCGTTTAGGATTCATTCGGGACTACCTATACATTTGTCGACAAACTTTTCCTCAAAAATTTGACAGATATAATTACAGTACAATTATAGTGTAATTACACTGTAACTTATATGTAATTACACTGTAACTTACATATAATTACAGTGTAACTTATATATAAGTTTCACATAATTTTTAATCGTTAGATCTATTACCAGATTTGTTTTGGTGAGGAAGAAAACAAATCATAGCACACACATATGTGAAATAATTTGTTCCCACGACCTCCATTTTACCGAAATAACATGTTACGGAGAGATTTTTTAAAATTACATACAAGTTACACTATATTTACAGTGTAATTACATGCAAGTTACAGTGTAATTACACTACGATTATACTGTAATTACATCTGTCAAATTTTTGAGGAAAAATTTGTCGACAAATATATAGGAAAATCGGTACCGCAATACCAAGGCCGCGCGGACGCGAGTGGGAATCCAAATTGGGCCCAACTTGACATGGGCCGGACGCACACCTGTGGCGTGACAATAGCTAGCAGTAATTAATACGGGCTGTACGGACCGTTACCGTTACCTTTTGCTTCCATCAGATCGTACAGTCACTGACAGAGTTGGACCCACAAACGACCCAGTTTGCTTTTGGCAGCACGTGAGGAAAAGCAGCCCCACATGCCTGACACCATCTACAGTCCAACCAGAGCCGGACGACCGTTTCGGCGTACAAACCCACCCACGCACACTGACAAGCGGGCCCCACGTAGCCACAAACTAGGCGGGCCCACGTGTCACTGGGCCATATGCCGCGAGACGTTGGGCCGGCCGGGGTCTCTCCCCCACGTGCCCGTTTGGTCGCCAGGTGGGCCGGCCAGCCAGGACGACGGGGGGAATCACTGCTTGGGTTGGGTCGTACTTTTTTGCAGATTGGTCCCTCCGTTTTGAGAGGCGTGCTACTACTTTTCCTTTTTGCAGATTGGTCCCTCCGTTTTGATGGTATGACGTCGATGGTCCCACGTTGGGGGTCTTTTTGTGTGTAGGACAAAGGTGCTAATCACGCTGAAAAAAACCACCTACCGGCTAGGATTGGAAACAAATGGGAGAAAATCACCCACCAGCTAACCATTGTCGTTATGTGATAAAGCATTTAATTCCTTTTCTTGTGATCGAGGAAAAGTTCCATGCAGAGGTTGTTTGGTTGTTAGAGAGATCTTGAAGGAGACCATGATTAATTTGGTTTGACATTTCGAGCCAATCTCCTTTTATCTTATTCCATTTTATAATTATCAATGTATAATTCCTTCAAATTTACATTGACGTAACATGGTACTCCCTCCGTTTCACAATGTAAGTCATTCTAACATTTTTCACATTTATATAGATATTAATGAATCTAGACATCTATATATATTTAGATTCATTAACATCTATATAAATGTGAAAAATGCTAGAATGACTTACATTGTGAAACGGAGGGAGTACAATATAAGGTTTATCAAGTGAAACCGTGAAGATTGTGCTTTCATGAAAGCATTGTATCTAAATTTTGAATACAAGTTCAAGATTGAATCAAACAAATAAACATGGTTATACTTGTTTTTTTTAAAGGAAGGCAAGAACTTTGCCTTATATATATAAAAATAAACTTAGAACTACTCTAACGGTTAAAACTCAACTAGACTTTTTCGCCCCTACCCCAAAGTTTGGCCTCATCTTAGATTTATTTGGCTACTATGGTTGCCATAACCAACTATTGCATAAAACAACAAAAACACATGGCTATCTCTTAGTCTTGAAAGTCAATAAATCTATATCTCATACGTTATAATACTCTAACGTAAAAACGTTACTGTACTCACTCAACATCCATAACTTAAAAATAGCCGTTATCAATAAAGCGCCACAATGATAGTTGCATAAAGTTACACCACATATATATTACTAGTATACTAGTTATTGATGATGATAGAATTAGGTCACTATCAATGTCTCCTAGGTAAGAGCTGTACCGGGCCCTTCTACTGTTGCAATCGCATCTTTTTTCAAACCGGAAACGATGATTCACATTTATTTAAAATTTTAATTCTCACCACGCAACGCAACGCAAGCCGGCTGTCCTTTTCCAGAATAGCATGAAAACGACAGGACTGATCCGCAATAACGCCATCCCTTTCTCTCTCCACTCCACTCCACTCTTCCCCCCTACCCTCTCCTCTCTCTCTCTCCTGCGCTGTGACGCGCACACTTCGCCGGAGCGACCGCCGCCTCCGGCCACCGTCTCCGGCTATCTGGTGAGTCCCGCCCCCGCTTTCCTTCCTATACTGCCAATCTCGCATCGGTTTGGTTCTGGCGGTTGGAGGCGCGACGCGACGCTGCGCTAGAATTCGATCGACTAAAGCTGAGCGGGGTGGTGGTTACGATGGGGGTGTCGACGAGCGTGGCGGCCGAGATCTCGCGCTCGGTGGCCCGCCGGCGAGGTAGAGGCGGCGAGATTTGGCGGTGGTTTCGTTTGATCCTGACGGCTTCGGCCGGCGGCGGCCGGTGTATTGCCCTTCCCCATGCATGCTCCAGCGCCGAGCAAACCCGGGCCCCCTAACGACGCTACCCACCATTGATGCCGCACGCGCCTTCGCCTGCGCAGGTCCTCCGCCTGTCGCCCCGTGCGGCCTCGGACCTGCCAATTTCTAAGAATCGAAATTGTCAATGCCCAAAATATGGCTCAATTTTTCTTGCATATTTCTTAAGTGTATAAGAAATGAGATCGGTGAGAAGATGGCATGCAAAGCTGGGGAAAGTTCCAATAAAATGTTGCTTTCTCTCTCCCTCAGGAGCTGAGGGGAATTTTCTTATTTAGAGCGGTAGGTGAGGAAGTTAGTGGGAGTTACCTTTCCTCTTTTTTCTTGCGAAATTGGACGATACACTAGTGTTTTCTTGAGATCATTTGTAGCAAGTGCTGAGGCATCTCAAGAGGAGGAGCTGGTAAGGGGCTGGTCATCTTCAATCTCACGCAGTCAAGCCTGAAATCATCCACCTGTCTCACGAGTCATGCCAAGGATCCCCGCAAAAAAAGAGTCACGCCAAGGATGGCCTCTGGCTCAGTGTTCTGCTCCCTCTGAGTGCAAAGAGGTAGATGCTGCCGCTCCAGCTCGTACGGCATTGGCTTGTCAAGGTAGTAGTAGCGTGCATGATGGCAGATTAATTGGCGGGAACGGGTGGTTTAAGAGGTGGCATTATGGCATGGGGAGGCGCAGGCAATCTTGTGCCTGTTAGGCCAGCGGGTTCTGTCAATGCTAAAGGACAGGGGCCACGCGAGCAGCGCGTTAAAGGCAGCAAGCTCCTCAGTGGCCGCTTCTTGTGCATAGGTGGCATCCTCAAGGAGAGGTGTAGTGATGGCAGCAGTCGGGCAATGTGGAGGCACAGAGAGGGAGGAGGAGCAGGAGAAGATGGGAGGGGGAGATGGAGGTGGCATTGGCTGGGGAAGAAGAGGGGGAACAGGTCGGAGAAGAGAAGCAGAGATGTGATGGGCTGGCACAGGGGGGTTGGGGTGGGGCACAGATCACGGCAATTGTGTATTTGAGGGAAAAACTGATGGATGGCGAAGCAGCTAATTAGTGTTGGGCAATTCGCTACTGCAGCATGAATGAAGTTGGCTCTTTGAAGTAATAGAGGTTGATTATTCTTGCATTGCTATTCAACAGACTGTATTGGAGTTGGTGGAATGGTTATATCTTGTATTTGAGGTCTTTGTTTTCTCCATTCACTAGTGTCCATGAACATGAATATGCAAATATTCTTTTTGCTAGCAGTGGTTATATGTATCTTTTATTTTGTTGTTGAAGTAACAGGAGTATCTTTTGTCATGGTAATCATATGATATTAAGTGGTAACTTTCCTCTCTCTCTTTTGGTACCATGGCAAAGTTATGTTAAATAACTTCCCTATTATACTGTAGGTGGTCATATTAAAAAATTGAGGTGGTAAAAGTTGCAACTATTTAATCATGTCGAATTCCAACTCATCAGAGCGACGAGAGTACCGAGAACCAACTTCACCTTCACCATCCACGTCATCTTCTAGATCAAGGTATAACATTGACTCGTTTCTTCTTCTTCTTTTTTTCTCATTAATACAATGGAATTATCAAGAAAATCTTGTAATTTGCAAAGTTAGATTACCAGGTTGGACTTTCTACATTACCATATTGTAATTCCTTGTGTTTATTTTAAGCATTCTCCATCTCTTTATTTCATGCATTTATTTATGTACTTTGATGGACTGGTATCGCAATCATCATTTTTACTTCTTCTCTGCTATATAGGGATAGAAGTGATCTTGCGGAAGTAGATGATCCTGAAAGTGCAATGTCCACAGTTGCTCAATTGTTGGAGCAACTCCATACTAGCATGACATCTCTACCAGAGAAAGAAGTGACGACTAAAAGATTGCTTGAACTGGCCAAAGAAAAAAAGGAAGCAAGGGTTTTGATAGGTAGCCATTCTCAGGCGATTCCACTATTTATATCTATCCTTAGAAGTGGGACATCTATAGCAAAAGTAAATGCTGCAGCACTACTTAGCGCACTCTGCAAGGAAGAGGACCTGCGTGTCAAGGTCCTGTTAGGAGGTTGCATACCACCCTTGCTCTCTCTTTTGAAGTCTGAATCTACTGAAGCAAAGAAGGCGGCTGCTGAAGCTATTTTTGAAGTGTCTTCTGGTGGACTTTCAGATGATCATATAGGTATGAAAATATTTGTGACAGAAGGTGTTGTGCCAACCCTCTGGGACATGCTCAAACCTAAGTCACACCAAGATAAAGTAGTTGAGGGTTTTGTCACTGGTGCCTTAAGGAATCTCTGTGGAGACAAAGATGGTTATTGGAGGGCCAATCTTGAAGCTGGTGGAGTAGAAATTATAACTGGTCTTATTTCATCTAAGAATACTACTTCACAGTCAAATGCTGCCTCCCTTTTAGCACGGTTGGTATCTGCCTTTGGTGATAGCATCCCCAAAATTATTGATGCCGGGGCTGTTAAGGCTCTTCTTCGCCTCCTAAATCGAGACAATGACATTTCAGTTCGTGAAAGTGCGGCCGATGCTTTGGAGGCTCTATCTTCCAAGTCTAGTATTGCAAAGAAGGCTGTGGTAGATGCTGGTGGCATTCCTGTTCTCATTGGAGCAGTTGTAGCTCCTTCAAAAGAGTGCATGCGTGGGGATACTTGTCATTCTCTACAAAGTCATGCTGTTCATGCTTTATCAAATATCTGTGGTGGAACAGTATCTCTGTTGCTTTATCTTGGAGAGCTCTGCCAGGTGCCCAGTCCACCTGTTCCCCTCGCTGACATTCTTGGTGCACTTGCATATACATTGATGGTATTTAGTGGCACTGATGGTAAATCTTTTGATCCGATTGAGATAGAAAATATTTTGATTGTGCTCCTGAAGTCCTATGATAGTAATCTTGTGCTTGATCGTATTCTTGAGGCTTTAGCCAGTCTATATGGAAATGCATGTCTGTCTGGTAGGCTTAATCACTCGAATGCAAAGAAGGTCCTTGTTGGGCTGATCACTATGGCTTCTGCTGATGTGCAGAAAAATCTTGTTCATGCTTTAACGAGCTTGTGCTCTGATGGTATTGGAATATGGGATGCTCTAGGAAAGAGAGAAGGAACTCAATTGCTGATATCATTTCTTGGGCTTTCTAGTGAGCAGCATCAGGAGTATGCTGTTTCATTGTTGGCTATATTGAGTGATGAAGTAGATGACAGTAAATGGGCAATAACCGCTGCTGGAGGTATTCCTCCACTTGTCCAGCTACTGGAGACAGGATCTCAAAAAGCAAAAGAAGATGCTGCTCATATCTTGTGGAACTTGTGTTGTCACAGTGATGATATCAGTGCATGTGTCGAGAGTGCTGGGGCAGTTCTTGCATTGCTTTGGCTTCTAAAGAGTGGTAGCCCTCATGGACAAGAGGCATCAGCTAAAGCACTCAAGAAGATTATACGGTCTGCTGATTCCTCCACAATTAATCAGTTACGAGCACTGCTGCTTAGTGACTCTCTTAGTACAAAGGCCCATGCCATTACAGTTCTTGGGCATGTACTTGTGATGGCTTCCCAGAGAGATCTAGTGCAGAATGGAGCTCCAGCCAATAAAGGGCTCAGATCTCTTATTGATATTCTTGAGTCATCAAATGAGGAAACTCAGGAACAAGCTGCAACTGTGGTGGCTGATATTTTCAGTACCCGTCAGGATATTTGTGATATCTTAGGAACTGATGAAATTATTCAGCCATGCATGAAGCTTTTGACAAGTGGGAACCAAGTTATTGCAACACAATCTGCTCGAGCTTTAGGAGCACTCTCCCACTCGGCTAATGCCATGTTGAAGAACAAGATGTCATGCATAGCTGAAGGCTATGTGCAAACTCTTATAGAGATGTCAAAGTCACCATCCATTGATGCTGCTGAAACAACAATTGCTGCATTGGCAAATTTCCTATCAGATGCACATATTGCCAAGGAAGCACTAGACGGCAACATCGTCCTGGCTTTGACTAGAGTACTTAAGGAAGGGAGCTTGGAAGGAAAGATTAGTGCTTCACGGTCGCTCTGTCAGTTGCTCAACCAGTTCCCCCTCAATGAAGTTATTCCAGATTACTCGCAGTGCTATTTTATAATTCATGCACTGCTGGTGTGTCTATCTGGCATCAATTTAGAAAATGCTACTAATTTGGATCCCTTGAATGTACTTGCATGGATGGCTAGGACCAAGGAGGGCGCGCACTTTAGTTCTCCCTTGTGGTCTGCCTTTCTTGATGTTCCAGAAAGCTTAGAGCCTTTAGTGCGCTGTATCAGTGTTGGGCTTCCACCGATTCAAGATAAGGCCATTCAAATTCTTGCAAGTTTATGTCAGGACCAACCTTCTCTACTTGGTGAGCATTTGAACAGAAGTCAAGGATGCATTGCTTCCCTTGCTAGTAGAGTTATTGAATCAACAAACATGGAAATAAGAATTGGCAGTGCCATCACCCTCATATCTGCAATGAGACACAGCAGGGAACACTCAATTGATGTTATTGAAGCATCAGGGCATCTGAAGAATCTAATATCTGCATCCATTGATATGATGAAGCAAGATTCTGCCCCAACATCCCTAGATATTGAAGTTTGGAAACCATACCCCGAAAACAGTTTGTATAACTATGATAAGGATGTTCTGGGTGTGTCTGGATCAGGAAAGGTCTTGGAAGAAACAGTTGCGCTTTGGTTGCTCTCACTTATTTGTTCTTCTCATTTGAGTAGTAAACTTACTGTTATGGACCTCGGTGGTGTTGAGACTATATCTGATAAACTTGCTAGCTACACCACTAATCAACAGGTGCATATGTTTTGCCTTTCCTTTCTAATTTTCTCTGTGCCTATACTCGCTATACTATTTCTATATATCATTTAACTGCAATCAGTTGGCTTAAATTCAAGATGCTTATTGCTTACTGTTTGGAACTGCTATATTATTTGAGTTGAGAGATTAGGGATACATCATGCCATTTCCCCCTGATTTCACCATTTTACCTTGTTACTTTGAAGCGCCTAAGCTGTATAAAAGATAAAATATATCCAAATAGAATTCAATATTTACTTGTACGGTCAAGATCCTAATTAGCTGTTTCTGAAAAAAAAGATCCTGATTAGCTATCTACATATAATCAGCTGATTCTGAGCATTTTGTCCAGAAACATGATAGTCCTTGTATATTTAGTCGTTCTAGACACCAGAGATATGATAGCTTTACTTATTCCTTAATTATATTATGTTTATGTTACCAAATTATACTGTTTTGTCTCATATGGCAAATTCCTGGCCCTCAATGATTCCATGTTACAGGACCAATATGAAGACTCAGAGAGTGTATGGACTTGCGCCCTTCTTTTGGCTACTTTATTTCAGGATTCAATGCTTGTTCAATCTCCAGCAATAATGCGAACAATACCTTCTTTAGCTTCGTTGCTAAAATCAGACAAGATCATTGACAAATACTTTGCTGCTCAGTCACTGGCTAGCCTTGTTTCCACTGGAAGCAGAAGTATACAGCTTGCTATTGCAAATTCTGGTGCAGTTATGGGTACTATAGCTATGATTGGACAGATCGAATCTACTATGCCAAACCTTGTTGCTATGGCTGAAGAATTCAAGTTGGCAGATAACCCAAGTAAAATAATATTGAGAAGCCTTTTTGAGCTTGAAGATGTCCGTACGAGTGCTACTGCTCGAAGGTCCATTCCGTTGCTTGTGGATCTACTTAAACCAATGCCAGACAGACAAGGCGCACCTCTGGTTGCTTTGCACCTTCTGACTCAACTAGCGGAAGGCAGTGAGACAAATAAAGTAGCTATGGCAGAGGCTGGAGTCTTGGATGCTTTAACAAAGTATCTATCTTTAAGTCCTCAAGACTCAACTGAAACTACTATAATCAATCTACTGCGGATCCTATACACAAACCCTGATCTTCTTTACCATGAATCCTCAATTAGCACTTCAAATCAATTGGTAGCTGTCTTACGTCTGGGCTCAAGAAATTCTAGGCTTAATGCAGCAAGGACGTTACAGAACCTCTTTGATTCAGAGAATATAAGAGACACTGAAGTGGCTTGGCAAGCTATTCCGCCATTACTTGATATGCTTGAGTCAGGAACTGAAACAGAACAGCAGGCAGCACTTGGTGCTCTAATCAAACTTTCTTCTGGGAATATCTCAAAGGCTTCAGCTTTGTTTGATGTAGAAGGCACTACACTTGAAAGCCTCTACAAAATTTTATCCTTCAGTTCGTCATTGGAGCTTAAGAATGATGCCGCTCAGCTCTGCTATATTCTTTTTGAGAATTCTACTATAAGGGCATCACCCATTGCCTCTGAATGCCTTCAACCCCTGATATCATTAATGACGTCAGGCTCTACTTTTGTTGTTGAACCTGCAGTTCGTGCTCTAAATAGGCTACTGGATGAGGAGTACAATGCAGAGATTGCTGCCACTAGTGAAGTTGTTGATCTTCTTGTTAGTTTTGTTCCTGGGACTAATCACCAACTGTCTGAGGCATGTATTGGTGCTCTCATAAAATTGGGTAAGGACCGTCCCAACTGCAAGCTTGAGATGGTTAAAGCTGGCATTATTGAACATGTGCTTGATATGATTCTTGATGTTCCTGTTTCTGTTAGTTCATCGATTGCTGAGTTGCTTCGCATTTTGACAAACAACAGTGGCATTGCTAAAAGTTCTGCTGCAGCAAAAATGGTAGAGCCACTTTTCTTGCTTTTACGTCGCCCAGATGTCACTATGTGGGACCAGCATAGCGCATTGCAAGCTCTTGTAAATATTCTAGAAAAGCCTCAAAGTCTCGCGGCATTGAAGTTAAGTCCCAGTCAAATAATTGAACCGTTAATATCATTCCTTGAGTCTCCCTCTCAAGCAATCCAGCAACTTGGCACTGAATTACTGACACATCTTCTAGAGCAGGAGCATTTCCAACAGGATATCACTACAAAAAATGCAGTTGTCCCTCTGGTGCAGCTTGCTGGTATTGGAATCTTGAGTTTACAACAGACTGCAGTTAAAGCGCTTGAGAGCATATCTCAGAGTTGGCCTAAGGCTGTAGCAGATGCAGGTGGAATTCTTGAACTTTCAAAGGTAATTGTCCAAGATGATCCTCAGCCAAGTCAAGCATTATGGGACTCTGCAGCACTTGTATTATGTAATGTTTTGCGCTATAGCTCTGATAACTATGTCCAAGTGTCAATAGCTGTACTTGTAAGACTGCTGAATTCCACCATCGAGAGTACTGTTACAATAGCTCTGAATGCTCTTCTTGTGCAAGAGAAAAGTAAGTCACGCTGTGCTTTAGCCATGGCTGAGGCTGGGGCTGTGCGTGCTCTGTTAAAGCTCCTTAAGAGCCATCGTTGTGAGGAATCCGCTGCAAGATTGCTTGAAGCTCTGATAAACAATGCAAGGGTCCGGGAGACAAAAGTTGCCAAATATTCTATTGGTCCTCTCTCACAGTACCTTTTAGATCCCCAGTCTAAGAATCAGTCAGCCAAGTTCTTGGTTACTCTTGCACTGGGTGACATTTTCCAGCATGAAGCACTCGCAAGAGCAAGTGACTCTGTATCTGCTTGCCGTGCTCTTGTAAGCGTACTTGAGGACCAGCCTACGGATGATATGACAATGGTTGCTATTTGTGCACTACAAAGCTTAGTTCTGCACAGCAGGACAAATAGGCGTGCTGTTGCGGAGGCTGGAGGCATTTTGGTTGTACAGGAATTGCTTCTGTCTCCAAATGTAGATATTGCAGGACAGGCTGCTCTTCTAATCAAGTATCTATTTTTAAACCATACACTTCAAGAATATGTTTCGAATGAGCTCATTCGATCTCTCACTGGTAAGTTGCTGATCATTGTGCTGAAGTGAGTTGGTTTCTCCTTTTCGATTGCATTCATGCTTTTTTTTTACAATCTTTTTTTAATACTAGTAAAATATTCTCTCATAACTTGAACTTGCTGAGTTATATCTAGTTCCATGATTGCCATGATATCCCTGAATATCCTACCTGTTCATCTTATTGATAAGATGCTCTGAGTAATAAATAGAATTTTCAAGCTCTTATTGTGTCTTCACTGTTTGATGACGCATTTGAATTGTTATGTTTGTAATCTCAATTGCAATTCCTCGCAGCTGCCTTGGAAAGAGAGCTACTCTCTACATCAACCATCAATGAAGTTATTTTGAGGACTATACATGTGATATTCAACAACTTTAAAAAAGTCCGGTTTTCTGAGGCAGCAACCTTGTGCATACCCCATTTGGTTTGTGCCCTGAAGGATGGAAATGAGGCTGCCCAAGAAAGTGTGCTCGACACCCTTTGCTTGCTGAAAGAATCTTGGCCACAAATGAATGAGGACATTGCAAAAGCCCAATCCCTGATTTCTGCTGAGGCGATACCTGTACTACAAATGCTTATGAAGACATGTCCTCCCAGTTTTCACGAGAGAGCTGATAGCTTGCTGCAATGCTTACCTGGTTGCCTGACAGTGACCATCTTACGTGGGAATAACTTAAAGCAGACAATGGGGAGTACAAATGCATTTTGCTGCCTGCAAATAGGAAATGGGCCCCCAAGGCAAACTAAGGTGAATTCCTGCTAGATTATTTTACTCGTTATCTATGATGCGCTTGGTTCTTTTGCTATTGCACCCAACAATCTGGTGATTTCATCAATGAACCCCGGAAGACTGAAGATTATAGTTTCAGAGCTGGGTATTTAGATTATCAGTTGATATTATTGTTTATGCAAGAAGTTTAATTTTCTGTTGCATACCCGATTTTTTTTTTCTAATCATTGTTTGTACCATACGTTCAGGTGGTTAACAATAGCATCTGCCCAGTATGGAATGAGGGTTTCACTTGGTTATTTGATATCCCACCAAAGGGGCAGAAGCTATACATCTTGTGCAAAAGCAAAAACACGTTTGGAAAGGTATTTTGTATCTTCCGTGCACACTTTTTCTTTTTAAAAAAATCTCCTTGCATGTGATTCCTATCTAACTTTCTCCTTGCATGTGATTGCTTTCAAACTTGTCTAATTATTTTACCATTTGCTTTGCAGTCGACACTCGGTCGAGTCACCATCCAGATCGACAACGTTGTCACCGAGGGTGTATACAGTGGTTTCTTCAGCCTTAAACATGATGGTGGCAAGGATGGCTCGAGAACCCTAGAGATAGAGATTGTATGGTCTAATAGGCCATCCAATGACAATATGTAGCAGTGCTGATTTGCCTATCGCCAATGTTATAGTTTTGGCCTTCATGTAAATCAGCCCCATAAAACATCCAAATTCATTCTATGTAGAAAGTTTAGCCAATTCACAAACGTATTTAACATTCGATTATTTCAAGGTCCTTTCTGGATTGTGTAGCCTTGTAGCTCCAGCAGATTTTGGACCGGCTATTTTTGTACAGGCGAACTTATTTCCTGTAATTATAACTTGGAGTAGCTTAGTGAAGATGCCATTTGGATGATCGAAGCCACTCAGGAATTTCCCAGTAAATAGTTCGGTTCCCACTGGACTTCATGCATTATCTCGTTCAAACCGTCCCTAGTGGAAAGGGATCCTCTGACTTAACTGCTGTGCAGTTGAGTCACTGACATGTGGGCCACAGCAAAGTGGGACCCACATGTCAATGACTCAACTGCATGTGCAGTTAAGTCAGAGGATCTGCTTCCGTCCCTAGCTAGTAGTATTTGACTATTTTGTGCAGTACAACGGTAAGGATTTAGTTGGCTTGCATATACTTAGAAATTTTACATAAAACCCTTCGATTCCTGTACAATTTAAGAAAAATTGAAATGTTTTAAGAGAAGGGATAGATGCTCAGCAAAGGCACTATTCTATTATGTTGAATTATTTATGGCAATTATTCGAGGGTACAAATACAAATGAACAAACTAATCATTATCAAGTTGAAAAACAGTATCTTAAGAAATTCATATTTAGAACTTTTAAAAAAAATCACATCATTTAAGAACCGAGGAAATGTCCGCGTTAATCCATCGTTCTATTCCTTATAAACAAAGAGGCATTCCAAGAAGAACTTTGCTGTCAAAAATGCATAGTACCAAATTCTACAGATTACATGTGGAGTGAAGGGTAGTGGGGACCATTAAAATGGTCAAGATCAACATCTGGATATTATCAAGCAGACAAGATCTTGGAGGTTTGAACTTTGAAGGAAAAGGAGCTAGAGCATAGCAGCCATTCCCTTGTCGGCACATGGAGAATATGAATCATATGCCTTGTTTAGATCTCAAAGAATTTTGACTAAAAACATCACGTCAAATATTTGGACACATGTATAGAGCATTAAATGTGGAAAAAAAAAACCAATTGCATAGTTCGCGTGTAAATTGCAAGACGAATATTTTGAGCCTAACTGCGACATGAATTGACAATGTGGTACTACGGTAAGCATTTGCTAATGACAGATTAATTAAGCTTAATAAATTCGTCTCGCAGTTTACAGTAAACATTTATAGGCAGAATTTGTAATTTGTTTTGTTATTAGTTTACGTTTAATACTTTAAATGTGTGTCCGTATGCTTCAAAAAATTTACACCCAAAGAATTAAGCACGGCCAGAATATCAGATCCACCAAAAGTAAACAGAACAACTAGGGACATGGGCTTTATTTTCTTCTTGTTTATTTTTGCACCACTCTCTGGACAGAAGACAAAGACGATTGAATTTGCATAAAAGAAACACATAGGTGGCTAGGTTTGATTTATTTTATATTTTTTTTAACATTTCTAATTTTAAAATAAACCCCTCTAAAACTTATTTTCAAGATCTGAACCATTTGAGCACTTGCGTGACAAAAACACACCGATCTAGTTGGCGTGATGACAACGTTTATTTGATCACGCCAGTCTGGCTGACGTGGCAGGATAAAACTATAATAAATTTTAAGAGGGTTCATTTTTAACATTAAAAATTAAAAGGTTCAAAAAATTAAAAAAATTGCTAGGTTTGGCATCGAGTGGGGCAACAGTTTTTGTTAGGTGGTCCAAACAAAGTTTTGGATCGTTAGGCTCTAATTTTTTTTTAACAAAATCTAGTTTTATTAAAACTCATACACAAAAAACCATTGTTATGTGCGTAGTTCAATAAAAACCATTATGTTCTTAGGTTACTGTTTTGCATGCAATGAATGGAATTTGTGTGATTTATATAATTAGGGTGTGTTTGAGGAGGAGGGGATTGAGGAGATTGGGGAGATTGGGAAGATATGCAAAACGAGGTAAGCCATTAGTGTATGATTAGTTGAGTATTAACTATTTTAAATTTTAAAAACGGATTAATATGATTTTTTAAAGTAACTTTCCTATATAATTTTTTTTTTCAAAAAACGTACCGTTTAGTAGTTGGGAAGCGTGCGCACGGAAAACGAGATGTTTTCTCTCTCAATCTCCCAGAACACCTGGGAACGAACGAAGCCTTACTAGCTAAAGGCTCGTAACACAACGAATATTTTAATTGATAAAAATAAAAAGATACATAATTCTGACATAAATATTGCATCCGTTCTATAATACAAGGGATTTAGCCCATATAGTTATATGGACGAAATCCCTTTATTAGAGGAATGAGGTAGTAGTAGATTAAGCATATAAGTAATATATGTAATGCATTCTCTTGGTATCTGTTTAAAGCATATGATTGATTAAGACATACCAGAAACAGAAACATAAGAGTGCAGAGGACACTCATAGAACTCACGTGGGGGCACAAACCATAAGGTGTTTTTCAAGAGTATGATATTTATGGTGAATATTATAATGCACTTATAAGTTTAAAATAGAGTGGTTAAAGTTTTAAAATAAACAGTGCCGAAGACAGTTTAATTTGAGAACCAAATTAGTACTACTAGCATTTTCAACACGGTGCAATGCAGAAGCATTGAATCTAGCTAGTAGATAAGATAAAGACTTCGATCATCCCATCCAAATATACGAAAACAACGTCAGTACACACCAAACTTTGGATTCCACGGACTTGTTTAACTAAAGCAGAGCGTCCAGTACACATGAAGACTGACCACTAGTAGTTAATTTCGAAGCTTCGATTGCTTAACGCGGTTGCTCTACATGCATCCAACTAATTAACGCGGTCTCATTTTCTGTTTGAAGAAAAGATCGATGCATGACAGTGACACCATCCACGCGGCTCTCACGTGTCAATTTCTCAGCTCAAAGTCTTCACTGGACAAAGAGGAATTATATTCCACACACACGGCTGGGCTCACACGATTAAGTTGGATAATCTGTGGAAATTAATTAGAGTACCGGTTGTACACTTGCACTCACTATAGTCACTAAGTATTGTTTTTTTTAATTTTTTTTTGAAAACAGTCTACTTCGTAGTTTCACCAACCACAGTTGTAGGTCACTACTGGCACTGAGGGTTTTGGGGCCGGTCTTTCTGGATCAGCCACAGTCGACAGACAAATTAGTACTAATTTAAATTTTAGAGCTTAATGTTAAATGTGTATTGCTAGATTTCAGGTACCTGAAATTTTGTAAACTTTCAGTCATATTTTATCTCTTTTTCATTATAATTTTGTACACTTTTTTATCTAAGCTTTGAATATTTTTTATGTAATTTTGTAAATTTTATGAATATAAATTTATTTCATGTTTTTTTTAATTTTTTTAATTTTAAATATGTGCTTCAACCTTTTATATACGAAAAAAAACATTTCAGTTAAAATTATTTCAGCCAACTGAAATCTAGACACTCCCAATCTTAGTTAAAATTATTTTCAATTTGTGTAGTCACTTTTCTTCGGCTTTGTCTAGACCAGCAAAAGATGGTTAAAAAAATAAAAGCAAAAACAAATACATGTTTTTTTTTTGAACAAACATCACCATATAGGTTGCAAATTAGAGAGGCCAAATGTGTCTTTTCCCCTTACATACTTTGTACGGCGTGAACCTAAATGTTCATAGTCTTATCAACATATTTTCCAACTTTGACCACTAGTCCTTGATATTTTCTGAAACACAATCAAATATACCAACCAAACCACCTACTACTTCTACTGATAATATTAATACAAAACTAATAGGCCATTTAGGAAAAGTTTTTAGGTTTAGTTGTCATACGGATGATATATATTTGAAGTATTAAATATAGTCTAAAAACAAAATAAATTATAGATTCCATCAGAAAACTACGAGATAAATTTATTAAGTCTAATTAATTCATTATTAGCAAATATTTAATGTAGCACCACATTATCAAATCATGGCGCAATTAGGGTTAAAACATTCGTCTCGCAATTTTCCGGTGAACTGTAATTAGTTTATTTTTCGTCCATATTTAATACTCTATACATGTGTTCAAACTGAGGAGTTTGGGAACTAAACCAGGCCTAAACAAAGAAAAAAAAAGAATAAAATCAGCAAATAGTATCGGAGAAGTTTCCGAGGAAATGACAGCGTCTTGTGATCTGTCCTCCTCGTCTTCCCCGCCTTTCCTCCGCCGCGTCGCCTCCTCTATCTCTCATCCCAACCTAGAGAGAGAAAGCAGCAGCCGCGGCCGCCGCTGTTCGCCCTGCTCCTCTGCCATGGCTGCTGCCGCGGCAAGGTGGGCCCCGGTCGTCGGCCTATTGGGCCTCCTGCTGCTCCCGTTCGCGCCTGCTCCGGCGGGAGCCGCAACGCCCGCGAGGTCGCCGCCGTCGTCGGCCTCCTCCGCCGTGTTCCTCCTCAGCGGCGATGTCTACCCCACCGGGTACGTACGCGATCTTTTGCTCCTCCCCTCCCTGATCGAGCTGGATTTCGATACCTTTGTTCGCTGGAGAAGAAGCAGTATCGGATCAATTGGGGTTCATTTGATTTGCTTATTGTTTAGATGTTAAAATCGGGATCATTTGGGGGGAAAGATATTGGCGTGTTGGAATTTGCATCTTTGGTTGGTCTCTTGGTGATTGCAATTAGTCGTCGCCGTTGCTCTGTGGGCGTTGCTGCTTTGTTGGTCTTATTTTGTATTATTTTTGACCAAGTCGCCGGCAGAATTTTTCTAAACCTGTCCACTCTTTTCTCTTTCTTCTTCTCAGAATCCGATGATGATCTGCTCTCTATTTGTAAATTAAATTCAAGTGCAGTGCAATGTAGTATCATGTATGTGTTGTTCACAGCTCTGCACTTATTCATTCAGTCCAGTTTGCTCTGTTTGAATTGAGCAAACTTAGGTGGTGTTTGGATCTAGGGACTTAACTTTAGTCCTTGTCTTTAGACACTAATTTAGAGTATTAAATATAAACTACTTACAAAACTAATTACATAAATGAAAGCTAATTCACGAGACAAATTTTTTGAGCCTAATTAATCCATAATTAGAGAATGTTTACTGTAGCATCACATAGGCTAATCATGGATTAGTTAGGCTTAATAGATTCGTCTCGTGAATTAGTCTAAGATTATGGATAGGTTTTATTAATAGTCTACGTTTAATATTTATAATTAATATCCAAACATTCGATGTGATAGGGACTTAAAAGTTTTAGTCCCATCTAAACAGGGCCTTATCTTCTTACCAAATGTTACAGTTTGCTTCTTCTTCTTTTTTTTTTTTTTTAAAAAAAAGAGAGAACAAAATGTTGCAGTTTGACTGTTTGAGAGTATATATTGACTGATTGTAGTTTTAATCTAATTTTACTTGTTCAAGAACTAAGACTGAAACTCTGCTTGCTCTTTTCCCCTGCCAGTTTGTTTCAGATGCTGTGCGATTTGACTAATTGCTTTGTTTCATTTGGAAATGCAGGCATTACTATGTTACTATGAACATTGGGGACCCAGCGAAGCCGTACTTCCTGGATGTCGACACCGGCAGCGACCTCACCTGGCTGCAGTGTGACGCTCCCTGCCAGAGCTGCAACAAGGTTCAACCTATGCCAAACAATAATTTGCACATAATCATATCAAAATTCTCGTCTTTATCAGTTAACTTTAGGCATTGTGCTTGGCCCAAATAACTTTGCCCATTTCTTTGTGTAGTTCTTGATTCATTGCTCTGCTCATAACTTATCATTGCTGTAGGGATGTCTTTTAGTGACAATTTAGATTTATCTTCTATTTTCAAAAGTAGAATTTATATTGAATTTTGTAGCCAATTTTCTCAGTGGTTAAGTTTAATCCCAGAACAGATACCTTCTTTGGTATCAAAATTGCATACTTTGATTAACTATTTAGGTTCAGGATTGTTGCTCAGTCTTACATGGTTTGTTTAGTGGCCTTCCTCTGGTAGGAAATGTGCAATCTCAGCATGATCTTTGGTCCCAGAAATTTGGCGCTTGATGTTGTCTTTCTAATGGTTTTTGCAGGTGCCACATCCGTTGTATCGGCCAACAAAGAACAAGCTAGTACCGTGTGCAAATTCAATCTGTACTGCGTTGCACAGTGGATCTAGCCCTAATAAGAAGTGCACCACACAACAACAATGTGATTATCAAATTAAGTACACCGACAAGGCATCTTCTCTCGGTGTGCTTGTTATGGACAGTTTCTCACTGCCCCTGAGGAACAAATCCAATGTTCGTCCGAGCCTCAGTTTTGGGTATACTACTTGGTGAAAACATTGCATAGTTAGAGCTAATGGATTTAGTTGTTGATGGTTCCTTTTGTTGTGCAGCTGTGGATATGACCAACAAGTGGGGAAAAATGGTGCAGCACCAGCAACAACAGACGGCTTGCTTGGGCTTGGTAGGGGATCAGTTAGCTTGCTCTCACAGCTCAAGCAGCAAGGGATCACCAAGAATGTACTCGGCCATTGTCTCAGCACCAGCGGAGGGGGATTCCTCTTCTTTGGGGATGATATGGTTCCCACTTCACGCGTAACTTGGGTATCCATGGTCCGGAGCACGTCTGGGTAATTACCTGTCCATGGAGTTTTACTTTGCTGCTGAAATATATTCATCATCATTTATGTTTGCTTGCTATATTACCAGATGAACTTATCATTATCTGATTCCCATGTCTTGGTTAGCAGTAATAATGTCGTAAGTTTAGTGCACAATTTCTTAACTTTACATAAGAGCAGTTCATTAAGTGTTTCAGAAAAAAAAGGCATCAAGATCTTGGGTTTGTTTTAAGATCCAAATTTGGTGTTGTTTTTCGTATTTTGTGTTATTCTTGATCAACATTGCAATGTCAAAGGTTGTTCAGAACACAACACCTCGATTGTGTTGAAATTGATAATTTTTGTTGGAAGTTATTATCCCTTTCTGTATCTTTGTGATCGCAGGGACAGGGGATACTAGTTTTCACGTTGGTTTTGCTTAACATCTTGCTGATCGTTCTTCTGCACAACCATTTTTACCCTGTTTACTGTTTCCACTTTATAACAGCATGGATACTTCGAAACTAATCAACATGTTTCAAATTTATTGAGGAAAGGTGGCACTTTGGCTTCTTAGATTGTGTGAAATCAGAATCTAGGTTCATCTTTAAAAAAAAAAAAAACTTTTCTAGGGCTACTGTCTAAATTGAAGGCATGCTAGGGAGTACCTAAGATATACACACTTGATAATAAAATATAATAATTTGCAAGTAACATAAGGACTTCAGTTAATTTTTTTTACTTCCATTCATCTGGTTTAACACATGATACACTATTGTCTTTTTTACCAGGAATTACTACTCACCCGGCTCAGCAACACTGTACTTTGATAGACGTTCACTGAGCACGAAGCCCATGGAGGTTGTATTTGACAGTGGTAGCACATATACATACTTTTCTGCGCAGCCATACCAAGCAACTATTTCTGCGGTAAATTTCAACCGTACAACAATCTACTTGCCATGAATTTGACAACACAGACATGTCTAATGAAATGTGTAAATCTTGCAGATCAAAGGTAGTCTCAGCAAGTCACTTAAACAGGTTTCAGATCCTAGTCTTCCTCTGTGCTGGAAAGGGCAGAAGGCATTCAAATCTGTTTCTGATGTTAAGAAGGACTTCAAGTCATTGCAATTCATCTTTGGTAAGAATGCGGTCATGGATATCCCTCCTGAAAACTACCTCATTATCACTGTAAGTATTCGACGATTCTATTGGCAACTAGAAATGAACTACTTTTTTTTATTGAAAATGATGGCTAAATTTTTCTTTCTATGTATGTGACAGAAAAATGGGAATGTGTGCTTGGGCATCCTTGATGGATCTGCTGCTAAGCTGAGTTTCAGCATAATTGGAGGTACAAAGTTCAGATATCATCGACTGTTTCTGAAATTTGGACATCATGCATCTTTGTGTAACCAATGCTTTTTACCCTTTTGCAGACATTACAATGCAGGATCAGATGGTGATATATGATAACGAGAAAGCACAGCTTGGTTGGATCCGTGGATCATGTAGTAGGAGCCCCAAGTCTATTATGTCTTCCTTTCCATGATCATCCCTCACATTTGATCCATGAGCTGGACATCCGCTTAATCATAATTGGATGTATCACTGATGGAGTTGGAGAAAGTTATTGCTAGCCTCAAGTCACCAGTACTGTGTAAGTGAAGAATGACAATCTGTTGCCATCCAAATAAAGTCTGTACTCTTAAACACAAATGGATGGAGAAATAAGATGAAATGAGAGAAGGATGAGCATGTAATAGTAATAGAGGCTGATAACAAGGCACTAACCTGTATTCTCCTGTTCATGGTGAATAATCATGTGCCATTTATTTGGAACCAAAATTTTGGATGCAAATAGGTGTTTTTAGTGTTAAGCTAGATTGGTTTCGTAGTTGAATACCACAACTAGAACATACAGGTAGCATTGTGAGTTGGCCTTTTGTGACTGTAAATTTTCCAGGTGAGCAGTTCATGTAGTTAGACTATAGCTTCAAGATGAATGACACTGTTTGCAGAAACTACTTTGGTCTCCCTGTTTCTGGCACAGAGATGACAGAACAATAAAAGTGTCTTTTGGAGTGAACTAGAACTTCTGATGACTCTCACAGAAAATTCAGTACTCTTTATAGCGAAATGTCAGCCTCTATCCATCCATCTGACATAACTACAAAAGTGAACTAAAAAGTTTCTGGACTTGGATCGTCTGCTGTAATGTAGAGGGGCACTGTGATTGTGTGAACAGTATTTTTATTATCTCTACTGTTGCAGCGAAATGCAGTATGGCTCAACGTTGTCAGGATCATCTCATCATACCAAATCTGATCCGACAATCTATTTTAATTTTTATAGCATCTCGATCCTATTTTAGATTTTCTTTTTTACGATTCCACGAGGTCAGTAGGGTCTTACACTGGATCATGGTGCTACGATCATATGGAAGCACGGTACTGTTTAAATTATAAGATGTATTGAAAAATAATGTGAATAATTCCCCCCAAGTTTATAAAAATTAATTAAACTTATCAAAATCAGTATTATGGGCTTCAATTTTTACAATGCATTACAAATCTTACATAGCCCACGTTGACTAACCCCGTGTTGAGAACACGACGGTAGTTAAGGTGGGCCGTCGACATAGCCGGCCCACTGAACTCCACACAGTTGCACAGCCCAATAACCCATTCGTCTGGCTAGGTTAGAGGCCAGAGAGGGGTGAGGCACAGTCGCTTTGCTTCGCTCCTCCTCGCCGCCGGCATCCCGCTCGTCCTCGACTCCGACTCCTCGTGCGCATCGGGGCGGAAGGGAGCGGCGGCGCGAATCGACGGAAGGAGACAGTTCCCCTTTCTCATCCACCTCGCCTCGATGCTTGATTCCCCAAATCCAGGTCAGTCTCTCCTCTCTAATCTTTGATGTTCGATATGCATCCTTTATCTTGCTTTCGACAGCAATTTAGTCTCAATTAGAAATTGGTTTGATTTTCTAGATGAAGAAGGGATATAACTTTAAAATCATTCTACCAAGTCCAGTCCAGTGAGTCCACTCCAACCCAGAAACAATCTGTCACTTACTTGCATCATTTCAGCAATGAAGTATTTAATGTGGTAGTTTGATGAAATTATTGTTGGGTTAAACAATTGCTTTGATGAAAGGTCTACTCGCCTATTTGAGATGCATTGCTTGTCTTGATCCAAGGAATTCTTTTACCAATTATGATGAGGATAAGCTCATTGAACTTGCTAAGATATATGCGGCTGACCTCTTTTGAATATGATTGTATAGTCCTTAGAGATCAACTTGACACATTTATCTGTGATATAAGATATGATTTCGATTTCTCAAGCTGCTCTGACCAAGGTCAACCTTGCTGTGAGCCTGTGAAGATGGTTCGAAGTGATACACACACGGTTTTTCCATTGGTATATCGCTTAATTGAATTAGCCTTATTTTTGCCTGTTTGCTACGGCTATGGTAGAAAGAGCCTTAGCTATGAACATTATTAAAACTGAGCTGCAGAACAAGATGAATGATTAGTGGATGAATCACTTACATATGTATAATATCATTTTCTAGATTCAACTTCAGGTTCTCTACGTAGTACTGTTAATGAATAGTGAGAATTACGAAGATACGCCGTGTTAGGTGTTCTAATGAAATTTTAGTTTAGTCTTGTATTTTTTTTCTGTACTTTTACTGTACTTCGTTGTATGATTAGAAATTGTATTTCAGTCTTGCATTTTATTTTTCAGCACTCGCACTGTACTTCAGTGTATAATTGTCATGGATAGTTTTAGCCTTCGATTTGAGCCCTAGTCGTGTAGAGATCATGGCTCCGCCAATTGCATGTATATGTATTACTTGTTTGGTAGTGTTAATAATACCTTTGTTCATGATTAGTTGGAGAACCAGTGATAAGAAAATGTGGAATCTTATTAAATCAGCAGACTCTGATATATCTATTCTGACACAGGTACTACCAACAATTGACGAGAATCCATCTGCGGATCTGCCCCTATGCCATTGCAGCACCGTCTCTTGCCGCGCGATTAGCCATCCCGCAAGGCCGTGACGCAGCCACCCCTGCATCGGGAGTCGGGGCGCTCCCATCTTCCTGTCGTGGGTAACACCCACAGAGCAGCTGTATGCACTGATGACTGACCGGCAAGCCATGGCTATGGGCAGCAGCGACGGTGACGTGCTGTATGCCCGATGCCTGGTCACACTGTACCTGCTCAGCCCGCTCAATGTGTTCGCGCTCTGGTTCATGTCGGCACCGTACGGGAAGCTGTCCCGCCCGGGGTGGGGTCCCACGGTGCCGGCAGCACTCGCCTGGTGCCTCATGGAGAGCCCCACCCTCTGGCTCCCACCCCTTGTCCTCTCCGCCACCACCACCTCCTTGTCAACCCCGACGCTGCGCGTCACCATCCTCCCGGCGGCGCTGTACATGCTCCACTACGTGCACCGCACGCTCGTCCACCCACTCCGGCTTCTCCGCTTGCGCCGTGCCCCGGCGCCCATGCCGATCCTCATCATCATGTTTGGCTTCAGCTTCAACCTCCTCAACGCCTACATCCAGGCACGTTCTTGGGCGCTCGATGCTGTGCCTCCAGCCACCGCCACGCCACTCACTGTTGCCCGCTGTCTCGTTGGGCTGGCCCTCTTCGTGTGGGGGATGTGGACCAACATTGCAGCAGACAGGGAGCTGCTGAGGCTCAAGGAGGCTGGCAAAGGGTACCAGATTCCCAAGGACGGGCTGTTCGATTTGGTCGCCTGCCCCAACTACTTCGGCGAGACCGTGGAGTGGCTTGGCTATGCCCTGGTAGCATGGACGCCTGCGGCCTGGGCCTTCTTCCTCTACACCTGCGTCAACCTCGGACCGAGGGCGAGAGACCAGCGCCTGTGGTACATCAGCAAGTTCGGAGACAAGTACCCGGCGTCGCGCAAGGCGTTCATCCCGTACATCTACTAACTGCTTTCACTCACCACTTGTCCTCTGTTGCTGTACGTACCATCCTGACTCTCCTGAGGATACTGTTACTTCTATTGAACAACCTGGATTCACACAATTGTCATGCGCATGCGGTTCCATTGATTGAATGAAATAAAAATGAGTTGTGTTGTTCCTGTTTGTCCCACATCTATGTCTAGTTTTTGCCAATTTTATATGAGGGACAGCAAGATAGTCTCATAAAGGATGACTCAAAGTCTCAAACTACCTTGCTGTCACTGCAACTCAATTGACAACTAGAAAAGAACAGAATTTTTTTATTGAAGATGATGGCTAAAGTTTCTTTCGTATGTATGTGACAGAAAAAATGGGAACGTGTGCCTGAACTGAGCATCCTTGATGGATCAGCTGAATTTCAACATAATTGGAGTCTTGGAGGTACAAAGTTCTTATAGCATCCAGAGTTTCTGAAATATTGACATCGTGCATCTTTGTGTGACAAATGCTTTTTACCTTCCTTTTTGTAGACATTACAATGTAGGATCCGGTGGTGATATATGATAAGGAAAGAGCGCAACTTGGTTGGATCCGTGGATCATGTAGTAGGAGCCATCCGTGGATCATTAGTAGGAGCCCTAAGTCTATTATGTCTTCCTTTCCATGATCATTCTTACATTTGAACCATGAGCTGGACATCCACTTAACCATTGGCTGTATCACTGATGGAGTTGGAGAAATTTACTGCTAAGCCTCGAGTCCTCAGAATCACCAGTACTGTTGTCACTGAAGAATGCCAATTGCCATCCAAATAAGGCCTGTACTCATAAGCCCATTTGGCTGAAGAGAAGGATGGATGAGCATGTAACAGAGGCTGGTAACATGGCTACCTATATTCTCCTGTTCATGGTGAAATGTGGTCCATATTTTGCATGATACGATGGAGTTCATCTTGTATGTTTGGCCTGAATTATCATCTGGCATTTATTTGGAACAAAAAAATTGGATTCAAATAGATGTTTTTAGTGTTAAGCTAGATTGGTTTAATAGTTGAATACTGCAACTAGGACATGCCGGTAGCATTGTGTTGGTCTTTTGTGATTGTAAATTTTCCATGTGAGAAGTTCATGTAATTTGATTATAGTTTCAAAAGTGTGTGTAGTACACTGCAGGATATATGTACCAGATGAATGATACTAGTTGCAGAAACTATATTATTCTCTGTTTCTGGCATAGCGTTGACAGAACAACAGAAATGCTTTAAGTGAACTAAATTTTCTGATGACCAACAAAAGAAAATGCAAATATTTAACTTTCTGATGACCTGTAAAAGATAATGCAGATACTTTATTTAAATTTCAGCATATCTGTCCGTTTATTTGTCTGTCTATCTGTCTTTACAGAAGTGCTTTTCTGATGAGTGATGGCACGCACAAGAAAATGCAGATATTTTATTTAAATATCTTCATCTATTGATTTATCTATATCTATCTACATGGACCACTATATATTGGGTTCAAATATTTTCTTTATTTGTTTATTATTATTATTTGTTATGATTGCATGTATTATCACTCTGGGTATAGACATCATGTGACATGTCATCAAAAACCACTTGCCCCAGGAATGATTTTTTCTTTTGAAACTTCCAGGAAGGATCGATATTTAACTATTTATAACGCCTGCAGTAAGGAATGATATTTTCTTTTTTAAGCTTCCAGGAATGATTTTTAACTAGTTAATACCTTGCGCATTGCTGCGGCCTGCGGGCAATTACATAGCACTTCGGCCTCATCCTTTTTCGTTTATGTTTATGCTTAACAGCCAAAGTTTTCAATGTTAAATTTGAAGTTGACTTTGGGATTTTTTTTTTCATCTATTTAATTTTTTTAGCCTTTGCTTGTAGATCGTTAAGAACACGTATATAAAAGTTTTATTCATAAATTATTTTTCATTTGCAAATATGCCGTTTCGTTTTTTCCTTAAATCAGCCAAATGATAGGGCTGCTAGCAAATATACAATATTTGGGATTTTTTTTCATCTATTTAATTTTTTAGCCTTTGCTGGTAGATCGTTAAGAACACGTATATAAAAGTTTTATTCACAAATTATTTTTCATTTACAAATATGTCGTTTCGTTTTTTCCTCAAATCAGCCAAATGATAGGGCTGCTAGCAAATATACAATATTATTGCGAATAACTTGGTAGAAAGCTCCAATGAAATTTCCGAGAATTTGTTTATGATCATACACATAAGTGACGGTACAGGAAATATTCAGCAGTTTGCCAAAATTTCGAATGAAACAACAAAAGGCTACAGATAGAAGATTATTCATTGCTCGTTAAGATTTTTCCAATTAAAAAAACAAAAGCATGCAAAAAATATTAACTGAAAGGCATCTTTGCTATTATTATATTTATTTGTTTACAAAACCATCCATCTGTTCATTTACACGTCATGGATGGTTTCATACTTTAGCAATCAGGATGCTCGCGTTGAAAGTCTACAAAGTATCAAAGATAGCAAAGTTTATTCATAACAATTTGATATAGAGGGGAAACATAGTACTGTAAATCTAATCCTTCATAGTTTGACTAACACATTAGTACTATTTCTTAGGCTCAACACTGATGATACAATTTAAATGAAACAAAAGTAACTACAAATTTGATTAAATGTCACAATACAAAGCTACAAATTTGTTCAGATCTCTGGGTCTTCGCTACACAAACTATAATTATATATTTATTATTTTCTAGATTATCTTGAATAATCTGTTGCTTTGTTTTGTATGTTGGGGAAAAGGTTCCAAATACAAACTAATGAACACAACCTTTATAGTTGCTCTTGTATGTGTTGATGGAGTAGTACTAGAATGTCAAATCCGATCTTAGATTATTATATTTTTAAACGAAAAGAGTATATATCAAGATAGACCACACGCGACCATATATTAGTAATACTCTTATGTGAAAAAGGTAAGCATAAAGTAGGGGGTCCTTAGAGGATGCGTGGTGGGATCCAACTAAGGGGGTTGGTGGGGCCGTGGGGCAGAGGTCGTTTTGCATGGAGGGTGTCGACACGCAGACGATGTGGACCATCAATATGGATTGTTTGAAAGTAAAACTGTACTATTTGATATGAGGTATTTTCAGTAATAATTGATAAAATACCTACTTTGCTTCTCTGGTGCTAAGGTATTGATAGTACATGAACTCGAAGGTAGGTGTAATTTAGGATATGAAATTGTAAAATGCTGTTGGGGTACACAAATTTGTGTGATGCATACCAATACAATATCAAATCGATACACATGGCTAATCTTACTACGTCAGATATTGATTATGACATCACGCGCATAAGTCAAGACGCATGAGATGTGCTATTTTTGCAGATAACATCTATATTTTTTTATCTTGTACTTCCTTATTTATATCTTATATGTTTCCTATATATTTTATATGTCTTTCTTTTTACAGGTCAGCGTGAGTTATTCTACATTTACCTAAGCATCCACGCATTTAGGGCATCTACAACAACGTTTATTAATAGGCTCTCTTGGTTGGCATAGAAGTAAATTTGATGATGTGGAAGAGAGAGAGAGGAGAGAAAAGGAAAGCATCATTGCTACGCATGACAATGGAGTCTACTCTTAACATTTATTAAAGAAAATTCTGTCGCATGAGGGAGAAGAAAAGGAAATAAGGGAAATAAAAAAATGTTTTGGTGTAATAATGGTTAATAGATATGGTTATTGTAGGAGAATAATCTCTAAGTGATATGTATTAACTAAGAAATTATATTGGACTCTATATTTGTACATGCCCTTGTGTGGTTTCCTCCTCACGTGCATACGTGGTATTCTAATCAAAGTTTAATGGCAAATTTTGCTACAGGACACCTAAAATTTGTGTAATTTGCTGATAGACATCGAAAAAACGTGTCATGGCTGAAAGACATTCTAAAAAACTGGTAATTTGCTATAGGACACTTTCGGCTCAATTGAAGGGATGGATTCCAAAAAAAAGACGAGAATGCCCCTCTGGCCACATGCTTCAAACATGGTGTTAGAGTAAAAATTAAGAAATTTTCCAACTCTAAATTTTCCATAGCCCAAAGTACATCACTAGCATACACCATATTTCATTTTCACTCTAGTATCGGCTCAAAAAGCTTTTGATCCTAGGGTCATTCTTGTCTTTTTTGAAAAATTTCTCTCTCCGATTGAGCCGGAAGTGTCCTCCAGCAAATTACCATTTTTTTAGAGTGTCTTTCAGCCATAACACGTTTTCAGGATGTCTATCAGCAAATTACACAAATTTTGGGTGTCCTGTAGCAAATTTTGCCAAGTTTAATCTAGTAAGATTAGTTATGGTATGTCGTTTAATTTTGGCATTGGTTTCACACAAGTTCTCGTATAACCAGAATAAGAATTTTGCAAGTTTGTATACTGATTGCACCATTCAAATCAACTAGGAAGGAAGCCCGCGCAGATGCGCGGGCAATTTATTTTTTGTTTATAAAAACTACCGAAAAAAGTCATATATCATCATAAAGAAGCACATATTACCTCATAACTTTACCGTAAAAGAAGGAAATATTTATACCATGAAATAGGCCATAGATTTTGATATACTAAATGATAATGTCTATCATATTCAAACAAAAATCACATTATTTCAGTTATATGTAAACTTACCTATCATCATCCTTTGCAAACATAATATGAGTTTTGATCTTTTTTCTTTTATTATACATCAGTTTTGATCTTTTTTCTTTTATTATACATCTAATTCACCTATACATGTTCATGGGTATATACAAAGGAATACTCTATATTGTCAAAATTATTTGTACTAATTGTTAACACAATTTATATGAGAACGACATAATTAAAAAGATAAAATATGGTTCCATATGACATTTTCGATTGTATGTATGTTTTTTTTTTTTTGCAAATGGTAATCTCTTGTATGTACGTACTTTTTTATGTTTTTTTGACAAATATTTTTCTCTCATATGAGGTATGGTGTGCGTATGTGCATTCATAGGGTGGGTGTGCACGCGTTTATATGTCTGCCTATAATTGCCTTTTGAATTGTTAGTTAAAAAATATTTTCAAGAAAATTGGTGAGGGTGGCATGAAGCAGCGCCATGGCAGCGTGACTTATTCGTCAACCTTGCAAATAGCGGTCGATACATATATGCATAATTTGAGGAAAACCTTAGGGCTACAAAGAAAGAAACAAAAAAACTACCAGACAGGGTGGACCATATATGCACTCTTCTTTTTTGATTTTGATATCTCCGGTGTATGTGCGTGCATAGAGAGGGATTAGCTGGTTTTTAGGAGCGGGGGCTTACGTGAATATATCTAATTTAATGGTTGAAAATAATGGATTCACCGGTTTAAGTGCAAATCGATGGCTAGATGTTTTTTTCCCTTATATTTTTTCTTAAATTTTCTCCTATTTATTAGAGCATCACATGGTATCTCACAAGTGTTTGTAGGAGTATAGGAACGCTATTACTTATACTCACAATCTACTTGTAGTCAACTATCGTTTCTTATGATTTTGTGGCATCCTCTATTTACCTATCATTTTTTATTAATGGTTGCCCACATAGTATCATCATTTATCTTTGGTGCTTGATGACACACGTGCTTACTGGATGTCAACTAATTATTAGGTGCATTGTGCATTGATGTATCATAAGCAATATAACTTGATGATTAGTGACACGGGTTTGTATATAGAACTTACTACGTAGGATTTAGCGGGGACATATGATTGATATATTATAATATTATTGATTCAAAAAGTATATTTTGTACCACATATTTACTTTTAGTACATAAGTAATAAATTTATGGTTATGTTCTAAAGTGCTTATTGGATTGGCTACTCCGTTATTTGTCGTGACCACGCTTACCGAATTGCTAAATGGTGTGTACTTTAAAAAATAATTTTTATTATATAAGTTTTCTGAAAAACAAATAAATCCATTTTCAAATTTTTAGTATTAAATACTCGATTAATCTTGTGCTAATGACTTATGTCGTTTTGCGTGCCCTGGATAAACTAATTCAATGAGCTAGATCGAACGAAGTCAAAGCCCTGGATTAGGTGTTGATATGGTGTCAAATGAATATATTTGATCTTCAGCTTTCTAATAATATATGAATAGAGTAAAAACATAATACATGAAAATATATTTATGATAAATTTAGTAACATCCTTTTGCCATATCAGTATTTTTTACAATAGGGAGTGAGTAATTTTTGAAAATTCTACACACAGTTGAAGTTGTTTTTATTTTGGAAATTGTAAGTCTAATTTAATTATAACATAATCTA